TAGAAAGGGATGACTGGTGGGTGATCCAGCTGCGGGATCAAGCATCAGCAACTGAATCTCAACCGCAGTGTCCCGGTGATGGCCGCCTCATACAGTTACAGCAAGCGCATGCCATTACAGGACAGTGCGGATACGCATCCAATAAACACCGTTATCGTTCTTTTGCGAAGCTTGCTAACTCCATATCGGGCATGGTTGTAGCACATTCGAATGCAGACTGCCTTAACAAACTAAAACTTTGCCACTTTCCAAAGATAGAGGATCAGGTTCTAGGAGTTGACAACGAAGTCCCAAGTACCAGCGTATGCTACAAAGCCTCTGATCTTCCACACCAGCTGCGAGTGGCCTCTCCCTTATCCAACAAAGGCAAGACTATCATTAAGGACACCATTCGTCTCTCGTATAAGGGAATCAACCACCGAACTCGTGAGGCAATTGTCGTGGCTACAGGATTTTTTGCAGTCCCAGTCTCTCATCTTGGAATGGCCATCTTAGCTTCCGATTCAAACCTCAGCTTCAAGCCTCGATCTCGAAAATTTGCAATTCGATTTCTTACGCGCACAGGTGTGCCCATTATCGAACAGCTCTTCTCCTGGTTACAGCGGCTCACAAATACCATTCTTGCTCTGGGGTTTATCCACCGCAAAAAATTCGTAGTCACTTCGATGTCGTCATCGAAAATCAGCTTTACATACCCTTCCTCCAACGGCAGCCTACGGGCCTCTATATCCTTCCAGTACATCGACACACCTCCGCCTCTACTTTTACCAGACACCCAGCAAGCCAAGACTAAGGGCGATAAGAGACCTTTAGCCCGGCTTCGGATGTCGCTAGACCTCCATGGCAAGAACCCTCATCGACGCATCATGGAATCATTAACAGCCATACTCAACGACCCTTCAGCTGGCCTGGGCTTTACGTTGGAGTTGCTTACCCTCACTCTACCTCTCCTGGAAGCCGTTGAGACCATTCTTGCTGAATCAAGAGACCGATCCCGCGCTGTAGTCAGAATAGCGGCTCGGTCTGCCAAAATGTTCCATATCTCATACCCGTTCCTCCAATATCGATTCCACCTGACGATGAAACAACGCCGACAGCGCATTTCTTGGCTTCTTCGGAATGGCACGATTCCCAGTGTCCGCATGAGCCAGGTAGCACTGGAGAGCGAGCTGACGAATAAAATACTCAAGGTCAATGGGGATGGCTGGCGCGGGCTCGGAGACGGAGCCATGGCGGAAGCAGACAATGCAGTCAGCCTGATCATGGTACTCGACAACATTATTAAGACACATGTTGCGCAACAACGCACGCAAACGGCCGCGAATGGCGCTGGCAGAGCGATGATGTTGGATGGGAACCAGAGCAATTCTGTCCCTGCATCGTTGAGTAACAGTAGCGGCACTAGCCAGCCTGCCATGACAGCAACGAGTACTACAGGGGTAGTATCCCCGAATAACGAATCAGATGCCAGCAAGCAAGCCAACAACGGCAGTGTAATCACCATTGACTGATTTGAATGTATAAAAATAATAAATAGCAATAATATATTTAACATGATTGGTTCTATTTGTGTAGAGTTGGGCTACGAGTAGATTCGCGAATTGAGCAAGTTGTCAATATCAAGATGTATATCATTAGAGGTATATTGCTAGACAACCGAACGCAAAAGGTAAGAAAAGCTATCTGTCCTTTTCTCGACTATTTATTTCCCATCCTTTTTCCCTTTGTCCCCTATGATCATTAAGCAAGAGAGAAAAAGAAAAAAGACAAAACAAGCAAAGCAATCCCATTGACGGACGGGTAGAGGCAGTTCGGAAAAACAAGTCCATTGTGAGCTGGTTGCAATTGGAAGTTGAACCAACTCGAGGGGGCGAGTAAACGTTAGATTCATAAGTTTACATGAAAAAAGAGATTCAAAGCATGCCGGCGTAAAGGAAGAAGAACTACAACTCCTCATGCTCCTTGTCAGCCTTCTCCTCGGACTCGGGAGCATCAGAAGGCTTTGGTGGGGCTTCGGCATCCTTTGGCTTTCCAGTGACATCGCTGCCATCCTTCTCGACCTTCTTCTCATCGTAGGCGTCGACCTTGTGCTTGCCGTTGTCACGGACGAAGTTGGCGAGGTCCTCGATGGTGCGAGAGCCGGTGTACTCGACTGGCTTATCCTTATCGCCGGCAGGGAAAAGCTTGATGGTAGGGAAGCCCTGGATCTCGTCTGGGATGTCGTTGGCGGTGGCATCGACCTTAGCGATGGTCACCTTGGAGGCGAAGTCCTTGTTGTCCTTGTACAAGCTGCCGAGCTGGTCGTACTTGGGGGCGAGACTAAGCGTTTGTTAGCCAATTGCATGATTTAAATGAGATCGTGTGGTGTGTAAAGGGGGTGAACTTACGCCTTGCAGTGTCCGCACCAAGGAGCGTAGAACTCGACGAGGACATCCTTATCCTTGTTCATGACGATCTCCTCGTAGGTGTGGGCGACGATGACGGTGACGGGGCCGTCATTCGTCTCTGGGACGGCCTCGGACTTGACACTAGGAGCAATGTCACCGGCGATGACACCCTCAACGAACTTGGTGATGTCTTGCTTGGTGAGCTTCTTCTCCTGGTCGAAGGGGTACTTCTTGTTGGAAACAGTGTCCTGGATGGCGAAGGCAGGGAACTTCTCAGGGATAAGGTTGAGGTTGGCAGCGTGAGCACCAAAGGCCTTGGAGTCGATGGTAGCGAAGTTGATCTTGCCCTTTAGCTTTTTGGCGAGGTCCTTGAAGTCACTAGCGTACTGCTCACGCTCCTCAGCAGTGTCAGCAAAGATGTATGCAAGAGGGATGCCAGCCTATTTTTTTACCCCGTTAGTTAGCAATCGTCCACAAAGAGAGTAGGTCTTGCTCGTATGATACTTACCGACATGTATCCAGAGTAGGTCTCTGGGCCAACCTCGCCAACGAGGGGTGTGCTGGAGGACTTGATGAAAGCCTTGAGGGCCTCGGCCTCGAACTTGCCATCATACACGTCCTTGCGGTCATCGAATTCCTTGTAGAGGACAACAGCGGGGAGCGAGACACCCTCCTTCTTGGCCAGCTCAGCGCTGCTGGTGCCGGCAAAGAGGACATCGTCCCGCATTGAGTCAGCGAGGGCAGTGTAGGTCTTGTTGGTCTCCTTGTCGTCCTCGCCAATGAAGGCGACGACGACGACCTTGTCCAGGGACTTGACCTCCTCGAAGTTTTCTGCTGTCACAACCGAGACTGATGGCAGGCTCTGCTTGACCATGTATGAGGTGATGCTATGGGTTTTGTCAGCGCCCCCTTTTTCTACTTCTATCTTCTAGATCTATAGCAGGGACTACTCACGCTGGGGACTTGCGAGCACCGTTGTAAGGCTTGTGCGAGTCAAGGCCACGGAAGACCTTGAGTGTAGGGTATCCCTCGACGCCGTACTCCTGGCAGAGGTCGGCCTCCTCGGTGCAGTCGACCTTTGCGAGCTGGATGTTCTTGCCCTTGAGCTCGGTGGCTGCTTTCTCATATTCGGGAGCGAGGGCCTTGCAGTGGCCGCACCAGGGGGCGTAGAACTCAGCCAGGACGAGGTCATGCTCCTTGATGAAGTCCTTGAAGGTGTCTGTCTTCAGGACGTGGACGTCCGACGAGTCTGTCGAGGCGTCTGCGGCGAGCACGGCGGGAGCGAGAGAGACGCCGGCGAGGGCAAGGAGGAGGCTACGGACGCCCGGCATGCTGTCTGAGTATCAATTGGCACGGTGCTTCAGCTGGGAGAGGTCAGAAGGAGGAATCTCTATCGATGTCGATGTCAATGTCGATGTCGATGTCGATGTCGAGGGAGGGAGGGAGGGAAGTTCTGGGGGGAGACTTTATATAGCGGTTGCGGGCCGGCGGGCGCCTCGCTGCTTTTAGCCTTGAGGACAGGCTGTTCTTTACTCGCGGGCGTCGCTTAGTTGGCTGCGCGCTCGACGGCCGCTGCAGCTGCTGCTTACCTACATAGTGTTTGTTAATCAATTAAATTATTTTATTATTCCTTCTTCCTGGCCGACGAGCAGCGCGGACGGCGGACGGCGGACGCAGGAAAGGCTGTGCTGCGAGTGGCTCAGGGACGGGCCAGATGCGAATCTATTGCCTGCGGGCTGAGAGGCCTGTAGCGAGCAGCCAGACAGCGATACAGACCGACAGACACAGCCAGTGACCGTGAGATGCAGGCCGAGACACGGAGTAGCAGCAGCAGCTCCAGACAGACAGAAACACCGGCAGAGATGGCAGCGAGGTTCCCCAGCTATCTCCAGGGCGCCGAGTAGGTCTTCTTCCTCCTCCCATCTGCTCTCCCGCCGGCCAGCCAGGGCTAGTTAACTAACTGGTTAACCAACATCGGCGGCAGACGCGAGTCGACGCTGCGGTGCACCAACTGCGCGGCCACCATCTGCCTCGCCTCGCAGGTCATCAGCAAGGGCTTCACCGGCCGTCATGGGCGGGCGTATCTCGTAGCCGACCCCAAGGCGCCGCATCCGGCCCTCAGCGTGCTGGCAAACACCGTCGCCCACCGCGCGGTGCCCAGGCAGCTCGTCACCGGCTCTCACACGGTCAGCGACATCGCCTGCCGCTTCTGCCATACCGTCCTGGGCTGGAAGTACCTCGCAGCCGAGGAGGAGAGCCAGAAATACAAGGTCGGCAAGTTCATCGTCGAGAGCAAGCGGGTCAGCGTCTCAAGAGATGGCCCGGTAGACTTCTCTCATGCTGCTGCTGCTGCTGCTGTAGACAATGGCAGCGGGAAGAAAGAAGAAATCGAGTTTGATAGCCAGGATGAGGACGAGTGCGAGGACCTCTTCGCCGGTGTCTGGACGCCCTCGCTGGCTGCAAAGCGCCGGCAGAGACGGAAGCACAAGTCATGAACTACTACTCTCAGGTTGTTGCTTGAAACATCATTATTCATGTGCTGTTATCACCTTTCTATTCCCTCATAACATACAGGTTGATGCATCTCTCATCCCTCTCTCTCTTGAGGAATATTCAGCTCTCCTCGCCTTTTACCTTCTTGGGATTTAAAGCCTCCTCTTCGGCTGACTCCAGTGGTCTCTTCCCTTTGGCCTCGGGTTGCTGCTGCTCACCAGCAGACGACGTCGACGACACCACGGCCGTTGCTGCTACTGGCTGCTTTTTCTTCTTGACCAGTCCCGTCAGGTCGTTGGCTACTTTGGTAAGTTCATCCAGCTTGATGGCCTGAGCGGCGGCCTGTTCCTCCTTGGTCCGTTCCGCGTTCGGGATGGCCACAGGCGGGCGCCGGAGATCGACAAGCTGGTACCAGTTAGCAATATAACCCTCACATTTGCTTTGTTACAGTTGTTATTCATCTCCTTGTTGTTTTTTTAAAAAAAAAAAAACACAATAACTCACCCGTTGCTCCATGTCCGAGACGATGTCCTTGACATCATCGATATTCCGCTTGATTCTGGCCACGGTCTCCCCGTCGTTGCTGCCAATGCTCTCAATCCGGGCTTCCTCTTTAGCAATCCGGCCCTTGCAGCTTTTGATTGCCTTCTCCATGTATACGGCTGCCTGCTCTCGGGCTGCTGCGTCATACTCCGGCTCTGCGTTGCTGTTCTCGCTTGCTTTCCCTTTCCCTTTTTCTCCATCTTCTCCGTCTTTCTTCATCACAGATGAGAACTCCAGCGCTAGTGACAGTTTATAATAGCACTCGGCAATTATAGGGTCCTCTCCTGAATATAGCTCTTCCTTGATCCGTAACGACGACTGTAGGTCTGCGGCTGCATCCGGGAACCTCTCCCCTTCTAGTGATATCTCTGCCTGCAGGTCGTACGTGTCTGCCAACCGCTCCTTAACCCGTCGTAACTTCTCCTCGTTCTTCTCCTTATCCTGTTCTAGCTCACTTCGTTGTCGTTCGTACAGCACACGGCTCAGGTCAAGTATCTCGAATGCATTCGCAAAGTCGTCATCTTCCTCTTCATCCCCCCCTCCCTTGCCTTCCTCTCCTCCTTCTCCTTCCTCATCCTCCTCCTCATCATCATCAGACGCTTCTAGGTTCTCATCCCCAATAAACTGGAAGAGTGGTGTCGCCCCAGCTTTGCCTAGGCTGCTTGATGGCCCTGCGCCTTCACCATTCTCTGCGTGCCTGGCAATTGCATCTTTGATAATGCTCGACGATGCCTCTTCCCCTTCGCCAGACCCTGGTCCCTTTCCAGACTTGCTGCTTGATCCTCCGGCAGGCTCCGTGGCGGTCTGGGGTATCTTCGCGCCCAGCACGTCACTCTTGCTCACGCCAACATGGTACAGACATTTCCCGTAAGAGTACAGAATATCGGCGTTTTCAGGTGCCATATCGCCATTTATTTCCGCTTGAAGCTCTGCTGCTTGGGAATAGAGGTCCACGGCTTTGCCATAGTCTTTAGCTGCTTCGTTTGCTGTCGCCAGCTTGACCAGCTGTGCTAGCTGGTCCTTTTGATCAGCTCCGGCCGCGGCGGCGCTTTCATTGCCCGTCCCAGGCTTGGTCTGCATCTCATCACCCATCGTAATAGCTGTCACTGAATCCACCGATATCTGCAGTCTGTAAATATCAAGCAAGCCTACCCGTCCTATCTCTTCTCACGCGTCGTTGTCTTCTTGTCTTTGATGGCAAGGGAAAAAGCAGAAGGTGAAGCTTTTTAAACTCACGCGCGCTTGCAAACTAAAAATAGTTAACGAACTTAAAAGAGCTTGACGACGCGTTGACTAAGTTAACTAGTTAGTTAAATGGGAAATCGACGCGTTAAGCTTTCTCGCCGGTTGAACACTTTCAAGCCAACCGACTTCGCTTCAAGGGCGCAGCAGACGGACTTATTTATCTACAAGAGTGAGATATACTCAGTCTGTTACTCATGGTTACTCTCCAGGCATCAGTACCGATCCGGTAAGAATCCGCTACTTCCACTCCCTCAAGCTGGTGGGTATTGTTAACCCTCGTAAAAGTTCAGGTATCAACGAACAAAACCCCCCCAAGACTGTCCATGAACCCTCCGTACTTCCCGTCGTTATCCCTCCAAATACCATTAGACCACTGGCTTTTCGGACACTTTCAAAGAAACACAATCTAGCCTTCACGTCAACGACACTACAAGCTCTTTCAACCTTCATTGGCAAGTCCTGTGGCTCAAGATGGCGCCAGGAAGGGCTCGCAGACCTGGTCCTAGATGAAGTAGCAAAGTTATGGAAGCAGTCAGGAGGTGGATCAATAGTGGAAGATGACACAAAGCTGTCACTAACGGCGATTTTATCTGAACTGGAAACGTACATGGTCGGAGGACGTGTCCAGCATGATAGAAAGTCTGGAAAAAGGACTACGGAGACCGCTATACCCCCAAAAAAAAGAGAGCATAGCACGGTTGATTCTCACGTCCAGGAGTCCGGTAACTTGACTTCGGAGCCCCAGGAAGCTGGGCCTGATGGTGCAGAGTCCGCTGAATCTCTGGAAGATGCCGCGAATGACCGCGCAAGGAAACGGGTCAGGGTTATCAGTGCATTTGAACAACAACGCTTGACATATAACATGAACAAGAAGCACTTTGAATCGCCACATGAACCTGCGTCCCTACTTCCCCCTGCCAATAATAGAGTCAGTCTATTCAGGGATCGTTATTATCGGATTCATGAGCGGCTACTAAGGAACGAAACTTTCCAAACTTCAACATTACCCACATCCTTCGGTGAATCAAATACAGCTGCCACGTCGAATCAGCCATATAAAATCACATCAATCACAAGCTTACAGGGTAGAGGGAGCACAACCCACTTGCTTCTCGGTTTACTCACTATTTCCCCAAGTGGAGGTTATAATCTTTCTGATCCGTCAGGGACGGTGGCTATAGATCTGGATCACGCCAAGGGGATTCCAGCAAATGGAGCCTGGTTTGTCCCCGGGATGATCCTTCTCGTTGATGGCATCTATGAGGACGAAGTCGAAGATACCGTAGCCCGCGGTGCAGGGGCAATTGGCGGCAAGTTCATTGCCATATCAGTTGGAGGACCGCCATGCGAGAGAAGGGAGGTTTCACTGGGTATTGATAGCCAGAGCCGTGGCTGGAATATTGCACCAACAACAGACCCTTCAGCTGACCCAATGAGTGCTGGCGGAGACACTAATCAGCCTGAATTCAGGCATCCGAGCTCTATATCCCGGCTGTCCTCAGACGCACAGCGAGTTGTTATCATGGGAGAAGTGAATTTGGACAATCCAAAGACGCTTCAAGCCCTTTCAATAGTTCTCAGCCAATATGATCTAGCCTCTGACGATACAGGTCCCCCGGCATTTGTTCTGATAGGCAATTTTGTCCACGACGCTGCTATCGGAGCTGGGAATTGCGGAAGCATCGAATATAAAGAATTCTTCGACAGCCTCGCCTCGGTGCTAACCCAATTCCCCAATCTTCTTCGAAAATCTACTTTTGTCTTCGTTCCTGGAGAAAATGACCCGTGGGCTTCTTCATTCTCTCCTGGAGCTACTGCGTGTATACCCAGACCTCTGGTACCAGAGCTTTTTAGATCTCGGGTCCGCCGAGTTTTCCAGGCAGCTTCTAGCCAGGATCATCCCACCCCTTCCCGTCAAATAGATGAATCAGCGGTCTGGACTTCCAATCCTACACGGCTAACCGTTGACGAACCAAGTGTTTCCGAGATGGTTATTTTCAGAGACGACATTTCTGGCAGGTTACGGCGAAATGCGGTTATTTTAAAGGATGATAAGGCAAAGAAACCATCCCCTGATCAGGATGATGCTGGATTTCTTAGTCAGGCTACCACCGTTACTGACCCTGAAGACAGTAACACTTCAGGATCAAACAAAGGCCATCAAGGCGGGGTAGACCCGAGTTTAGTTGCTGCTCGACGGTTAGTCAAATCGATACTTGATCAAGGGTATCTCAGCCCGTTTGCCCCCGCTGTACGGCCAATTTTATGGGACTATGCATCCGCTCTACACTTGTATCCCCTCCCCACCTCTCTCGTGATAGCAGATCCAGAGGCAGACCCATTCACGGTCACTTATGAGGGATGTCATGCAATGAATCCCGGTCGTTTCGTTGTTGAGGGTAGCAATGACATCGCAAGATGGATAGAATATAACATGGCCACGAAAAAAGGATGTATAAAGGAAGAACTCCTCTAGTATTGGACAAACATATTACATATAATTCCACATTAACGATTGACACGCAATACCATATGAATTAGCATGATTTGAATAGATTTGATGTTTTGATTATGGTTTGGAAGCCCTACAGTGGACCCGAAGGTATAATGACTCTTACATACGGAACAATGCATATCTCGGATTGTCATCGTACTATTTACAACGAATTCCTTTTAACTACTTCTTCACTCTACCTCCCGGATCAAAAATCCACCGTCACGAAGATGGTTCTTCACGTCCGAGACGGCATAGGTACCTCGGTGGAACTGATAAATAAAAAGTTAGCTTGAAATCCATACCAAAAGGAGGAAATTCATATATATTGAATTTTCTTACCATCCCAGCTCCCAAGGCAGCGTCTGTGGCAGTCTTTTCAAAGACCTCTGCAAAATGTCCAGGGTTTCCGGCTCCGCTAGAAGCAATCACAGGAATTGTGGTAAAAGATTTCACATCGTTAATCAGCTCGAGGTCGAATCCACTGTTAGTTCCATCCTTATCAATGCAGTTCAACAGTATCTCTCCAGCCCCCATTGCCTCGACCGCTTCAATAAGCTGTTTAACATCAAAATCTCTTCCTTCTCGGCCCCCCTTAATCGTACATCGGAACCAGCAATATTTTTGCCCTTGTCCATTGGGGGACTTCGTCTCGAAAGTATGATGGGTCGTATCTTCCGGGGAGGACACATAGATACGCCGAGGGTCAATGCTAATAACAACAGCTTGTTTACCATAGGCGTTGGAGATTGTTTCAATAGCAGTCTTCCCACTCAGCTTCTTCCCAGAGGCATAGTATTCTTCTGCAGCAATCACTGCATCCGATCCAATGCTAACTTTGTCGGCTCCAGATTTGAAGTACATTTTTGCAATGTCCAGAGCAGAAACCACAGTTCCATCAGTATCCGTGGTATCCTTAATCCCACCACCAATGGTAAGAGGCACAAAGACGGTCTCTGATGTTTGACGTAGAACTTCCAGCATCGGTACGTCTGCCAAGGGACAGTTCCTGTATGATGTGATGTTGAGGAATGTCACTTCATCGGCGCCCTCCTGATAGTATTTCTTCGCCATGTCAACGGGCTTTCCCAGGTTTCTCACTTGACCTTTCCCCTCAGCTCCAGACTTTTCTCGAACATCGTACTGGTCGCCCTTTGTAACCACCAGATCACCATCATCGTTGGTCCGGACATCAAGGCAGGCAATAATCCTCCTTGTGAGTCCATCCCGAGCAGAAGAAAGCTCAGATGCAGGCAGCTCCTCTATCTCTTTACCTTTTAGAAACGCATCCAAGACTCTTAGTCCAGCCTGTCCACTCTTCTCTGGGTGGAATTGTGTTGCGAAAACATTGCCTTTCCCCAGAGCTCCAATAAAAGTCTCGTCCTGGTATTTTCCCGTGGCAATCTTCCATCCCTGAGCTTGAAGGGCAGTGGTATCAACAGGGGCGGCGTAAGAGTGAACATAGTAATATTTGCTGCGAGGGTTTAGGCCATAATAACTTTTGTTCTCGGCGAAGATGGCTGAATTCCAACCAATGTGTGGCACGCTCTTGTTAGAGGAATCAAATTTCTTCAGCGAGACGGGAATCAATCCTAGTCCCTTGACATCAGGAGCTTCTTCCGATGTTTGAAACAAAGCCTGAAGGCCAACACATATGCCCATAAATGGCTTTCCAGAGTTTATATGCTCCTTGATAGGTTCGAGGAACCCACCGCTTGCAAGCTGGCTCATACAATGGCCAAAATGGCCAACTCCGGGTAAAATCAGGACCTATACATCCACCACAAAATATCAGTAAATTAAGAGCAGAAGTGAAGTAGCACATTACACGTACGTCTGCCTCCTTGACATCCTCTGGCGTCTTTATCCATTCTACCTGGCAATCAAGCTTGTTCAATGCATTAACGAGTGACCGAATGTTCCCGGCAACATAGTCTAAGAGGTGGACGGTAGGCATCTCGACGGTCAGTTACCACGACGCATGGAACGAATGTATTGGATACAAAGATGAAGTAAAGACTTCCTTTCAAGAGCTTGTATTCCCTCTATCTGGTGACTCAGAGCTGACTTTTTTTCCTATAATTATTCGTTAGTTAACTAACTAGCGAGGCCCTCACTAATATTTAACTCACCAACTACTAAGTAGGCTATTTTAAACGTCTAAATAAGGCTTACGCTTTAGGTTCTAACCCCGCTCCGGGCGTAGATAAGGGTGCATTCATTCTTGCTTGCATTATCATGGATCGTATATAATTTAATCTATCCCCCTGGAATGCTCGCTTCAAGGATAAAAGAAACAAAGTCAAGATATAAGAAAAGAGACAAAACTCTAGCTAGCTTTCGTGGCTGATATCCGTCTGGTCGAAAAACTCTGGTGGGGGTGTCGGATACGAAGGAGACAACCACTTAGTGGCCTATCAAAGCACCCGCGGCCATGAACCCATGCCTGAAAACTTGGTCAAGCTTTCTTTTATTTTTCTCCCTTGCAGTGGTAAAGACTAGTGTCCAGACTTGGGGATCTTTATATCCAAACCTTTGAGGTCGATGAGCCGGTTGCATGGCTATCAAGATGTCAGCAATAAGACCTTATAAATAAAGGAACGAAGACAACTCACAGGCGAGAACTGGCGAAGATTTACTCCTGCCTCTTTCAACACCGCTGCCGACTATACCAAAGTTAGCCATCTCGACATACCAAAACGGCTGAGAAGTGCAAGTTGAGCGGAAGACGGATACTCACATCGTTGTCCATGTGATATCCTTGGGAGTATACGACTTCTGAGATGCCAAGTTGGGCTATTTTGACACTGCATGTCAGACACGGGCAGCTGCTGGACGTTAGCGAATGAGTATAATTGGCTGGGTAGTAACTGGTGAAGACCGACGTGTCACAATAAAGGATTGAGCCTTCTCCAATCCTTTGCCTACCGGCCTCAAGTAAAGCATTCTCTTCAGCATGCATGCAGAGACAGGTTGAGAGAACTGTACCACCGGCCTGTCCTAAGTTGCAACGAGGGCCTGTGAATACCATCAGTGTATAGTTCAACAGACTACCCAGGAAGGAGGTAGTAAAGGGACGTACATCCGCCTTCGTTGCAGTTCTTCATGTTCCGCGGAGTCCCATTGTAACCTGTAGACATGACTCTGTTGTCTTTGACGATAACACAGCCGACCCGCCGTTTCATGCAATTGCTTCGCTGTGCTGCCAATGACGCCAACTGCATAAAGTACTGGTCCCATGCAGGCCGTAATCTTTGCATATTAAGTAAATCCAGGGAGCTCAACGCGGCATGCAGCTCGTTCAATGAAGAAGACGTATTGAATAGCCGCACATGGGCTCGGTCCAGAAGGTACGAGACCCCGATTTTGGGGTCATACTGACTATGGTCGCTTATCAGCACGAACTTTTCAAGGTCTGGAGGTTCTAGCTGTTTTCTCCAACACCTATTCAATTGCGGTCAGTCTTCTCTTGTCTCGTGGCAGGGGAAGATGAGAGGTCGGGCAGACCTATCAGTAAACCGGCGCCAGCGTAAAGTAATAGGAGCATCAACGCTAATCAGCAAGAAGAAAGGCCGCAAAAGCAGGCGCTCTAACGCTGCATCATCCGGTATATCTGTGGTGACCCAGAGCTCACGCCATCTTGGAGTCACGAAGTCGATTAGCTCGTCAATGGTCTCGAAGGACTGGGCTGACGGGTTTGGCGAGCTGGTGAGAGAGAGCTGTTCAAAGTGCTCCTCGACTACAGTCTGATGGTTTCCTGGAGCGACGCTGATCTGCTGGAAGCCATGGTTCTTTACCAGAAAATCGGCTACGGACTTCTTCCCGGCACATATACCTGTAGTTACCACAACATCAGCACGGTTTCCCGAGGGCTTTCTATGTACCAGTATCTTTACCTCCACAGATGCCAACCAACATGTCTTCCGGACACTCTCGTTGTTCCGGTCTAGCGGCCTATTATGCGCAGAGAATACACACGGGCTTCCAGGATACGGCTGATATTGTGATTCCTCTTGTGTGCGGTTAACTGAGCGCGCTCTAACTAGTTAATGGTTAAAACTTCCCCTCTATAGGTGAAAAATAACACATAATCATGCAGGTTTCGTCCCAAAAATTATTCCCGGGTCAAAAGCAATGGAACTGCCAGATGAAATAGAATAGAGAATGAGTTATGGAGGAAAGATCCCGAATATCTTCTTTAAATATCCTCCTTGAACATATATACACATGGGTTACTGCCTAATTAACTGGCTAGTTTAATAAACATGCCAACGCACATACTGTAGAAACAGGTGTTGGCACGACTGATCTCCATACATGTTTTTCCCCCAAACAGATGTTAGCTGGGTGAATATAGCCAATGTTAGAGTTCATCGACAGTAACTACGAATTTGCAGACTGCTACGAGGCACCGCCAGCCTCACTTGCTGCATGGCTAACTAACTAACTAGTCAACCGTCCTTTCATTCTGCTTGTGAATTATTGTCTGAGACGCCGTCTATGGCGTTGGCTGAAACCCGTGCAGCAGTGTCCCACGTTCTCCTCCCATCTCCATCTAAATAATATAATAACCCCCCCCCTGACTCCCGCATACATCTCCTCCTGCAGGAATATTAACAACACCGTCAGTTGATGTTGATGTCAACATCTCACATCCAGCAACAAAAAAACGGCCCACGGAACGAAAAACGGTCACGAGAGCTTAGTTAAAGCGGCCAGGGCCAGCCCATAAAGCAGCGAGACGACGGGTCTGCTGACTAAGTCAGGTGTTATCCCTGTCTCCCCACCGGCGAGCTTATCTAATCTGGCTCAGCGGCAGCCTCCCTCCCGCCTGGCGCAAAAGCAGGAGGGTATAAATATCCAAATACATCTTCCTCTCTGTTGTAGGCTGTTGCTGTTGTTGCTATTCTTACATGAATCAAACGGCTTGCTGATACCACTACTAAACCAGTCTTGCTGCGGCCTCAACCTCCAGCTAGAATGCAGTACACACCGTTTATCTCTGATATAGAGTTGCCATTCTACTCGTCCCTGGCCTCGCTCAAGGTCGACCATGACAAGCTCGATGACTCTGCGCGCAAGGTTTTGGGCCTGTATGAAATAAAGCCGTCTGATCGCCCAGAAGAGTCCTGTCGCATGCAGATACTAGGAAATGCTTTGCTTAAAGACGAGTAAGTGCCTTGTTCGATCACTTTGTTAGTGTCTACTTCGCTGCTCACAGATGACATCATCACCAGTGTCCCAGCAGGTTATTATCGGGCGGAGGGTATGATCAAGAATGTGAACACGATAGAGGAATACCGGAATGCAGATAAGCCGGCGATATTACAGCTAGCAGGAAAGACTGTAGGTGTTTATTTTTTGTCTTGTTATTATGTATCGCCCTTGTTACTTTCCAGGTTGTTGTTGGATTTGCTAATGACCAAACTCGGATGAAAAGATATGGGATGCTATTAATGATGGGACCATAGATTCGTGTCCCTCACTACTTGCCTCTTTCACAGTTCTTTCATTTGCAGACCTCAAGAAGTACAAATTTTCTTACTGGTTTGCGTTTCCAGCCATACACTCCAGTCCGCCGTGGGCGCCAACAGCAAGCCCCATCAACAAGGACGAGACAGACTCCACTGGTCAGAAGAAGCCTGCCAGTCACGCATCACAGCAGTTGACTGAGCCTGAGACTGTGAATTTGGTGGAGGCTGTACAGACTTGGCGGTATGGCGTTGATGCTCGTCAGCATGGCTTTTTCCTTGCCAAAAAGGTGTGGGCGGCCGCAGACCAGAAGCCACTAAAGGGTCCATATGAGTGGCAGATTTCACCGCTTTCTGGGTATGAGGAGGGGTTTTTCGATAACTCCAAGGAGGGAGATCGCTATGTCTGTTTTGCTGACCCTTCCAACTACGATGATGCGCCAAGCTGGGTGTTAAGGAACCTTCTGGTTCTTGTACAGAAAAGGTGGAAGCTTAACAAAGTCCAAATCATGCGGTATCGCGACTTGCATTCAAGACGAGACCAGGGAAGGACTTTGATAATGACACTGGAAACCGACAACTCTCAAACGAGCACTACCACCGAAGGGGGTGACGCTCAACCAGCATTGCCGAAGATCACAGGGTGGGAACGAAATCCTGCAGGAAAGCTTGCCGGTCGAACAGTTGACCTCAAAGAATACATGGATCCTCAAAGGTTTTTCGTTTTTTTTTTTTTTTTTTTTATTGGAGTGCCACTCATTTGAACATAGCTCACTTCTGCTTATAATATAGACTGGCCGACCAATCCGTAGACTTGAACCTCAAGTTAATGAAATGGAGGATCAGCCCTAATCTTAACCTAGAAGATATCAAGAAAACAAAATGCCTATTGCTAGGTGCGGGGACACTTGGAAGCTATGTTGCGAGAAACTTGCTTGTAAGTGTGGGTGCCATTCAAAGATGAACGCGATAATAGCTAATTCCATGTTCCAGGGCTGGGGTGTGAACAAAGTGACATTTGTCGATAATGGTTCTGTTTCATTTTCGAATCCAGTCAGGCAGCCTCTGTTCAATTTTAAGGACTGTCTTGGGGGAGGTGCAAAGAAGGCTCTTCGTGCTGCCGAGGCCCTCAAGGAGATATACCCAGGTGTTGACTCAACTGGACATGTTCTCTCGGTACCGATGGCAGGACACCCGGTGGTAGATGAAGATAAGGCAAAAGCAGACTTTGAGCTGCTTAAGAAACTTGTCGAGGAGCATGATGCCATATTTCTGTTGATGGATACCCGGGAATCCCGATGGCTTCCAACATTGCTTGGCAAAGCAAATGGAAAAATAGTTTTGAACGCCGCTCTAGGGTTTGACACGTTCGTAGTAATGCGTCATGGCTCTTTAACGACAGCAGGGTCAAAGGATGGACTTGGATGCTATTTTTGCAACGATGTTGTTGCACCAGGGAATGTGAGTTTTGTTACATCCATTGGTTGCCCAGTTGAGAATCAACGCTAAGGCTAGCTTAATTAAGTCTACCAAAGCTCAGACTTTGGATCAGCAGTGCACTGTCACACGACCGGGTATTGCTGCAATTGCATCCGCTCTTTTGGTAGAGCTCTTCGTCTCTATTGTCCAGCACCCGCAAGGCGCTGATGCTCCAGCAACCACCGCACCGGACGAAGACAACATTGAAAGCCCCCATCCGCTCGGCATAGTACCTCATCAAATCAGAGGGTATCTTTCCAGATTTAATAATGTTATTGTCACTGGCAAAGATTATTCATGTTGCAGTGCCTGCTCCGGTCGGATTATAGACCTGTACTTGCAAGATGGCTGGGATTTTGTGAAGAGAGCTATGAATGAGAAATCATATATCGAGGAAGTAAGCGGGCTCAAAGAGGTAGGTTAAAGACGCCGTTTACCCCAAGATTTTGACCAAAGCTGATAAACGTAGGTCCAGCGTTTGGCGGATGCAGTTGCCGAAGGGATCGGATTTTCCGACTCGGACGATGCTGATGACGATGAATTGGTCGAAATTTGAGGGCCAACTGCCAAGTTCAGTGTTGAGCTTGAAACGAGCCCAGATACTCTAATTTTGTTGGGTCTTTTCGCTTCTTCTTCGTATACCGATGAAGTAAGCTTCTTTGGATTCCTGGGCATATTCATTAGCAAGTCCTGGGAGTTAGAGAAATACTAGTTGATATAGAAGACTTACACTGCGAGAAGATTCAGGCTTCTCACGATATACCCTGTGGAATAACCGTTTCAACTCGTTTTCAAAGTCCTTTTCCCCAGACCCCTGATAATATTTGCACACGAAGTGGCCACCTTCTTTCAAAACGTTGGAAGCAAAATCGAGCGCCGCGTTGCATAATTCCTATTCACGTCATTTATTAGCGCTGGAGATTATACTTACTTCAGGAAGCTCTACACGTACCATGCTCCCTAAATGATCGCGGGACTTGGTGCCACTTGTATTCATTAACCTATTGCTGCGTCAACCAGGAGTGTTCTTTTAGTTTTCCAGTTAATGTCAAGGGAACACACATGTCACTTAGAATCACATCAACCGATCCTACTTTAGCTTTCGTTGGCAAAGGAGCCACCCCATCACCTTTAGCCACCCCATCACCTTTGTTGATATGGGCGCTAGAACTTCTTTCTAGATCTATATAGCCTCCATCGGTCTCGGCACCTGGCTCTGTAGTGGGAGAAGATTTCCCCTGCTCGCTGATTGCGGGTAGCTGTGACCGTGGTCGGCCGCGGTTCGGATCCCGGACAAAGTCCTTGACATATTCCTGGACTCTTGGAGAAAGGAAATTTCCTTGGATAGTGGACACTCCTCTTGGGGGTTGGGCGGGAATAATGTCCACACCGACAACTCTTCCACGAGGTTTGGTGAGGTTAAAGGCAACCTACTCAACGATTAGTTCAATAATCTGCTAGATGTGTTTAATTTCTTGACAAACCTGAGACCAAGAACCTGGTGCATACCCCTTTCAACCTTCATTAGCACGCGAGCATCTTTGCTTGAATTATTATCCAGGTAATCTCACAAGATCAACCACCGTTTGGCCGCTTTTGAACAACCTGTATCTATCGTTAATCTGTTTTAGACGTTAGAATATGGCCATTGACCTGTAAGTGGAACGTTTGTACCTGTAATAGCTTGAAGGCAGCTCGGCTTTTCAGTCCTTGCGTGCTAGCTTCTTTGGTGTAGGCGTCTTTCCCCTGTCTGGCTTGCCATTGCTTTGAAGAGATCGTCCTGGAGAGCTGTTTCACAAACAAGCTACAGCCAGGGAAACCCCTATTCTGTAGAGCCGGCCAGAACATATTTCAGTAGTGCTGATATTAGACTTGAATGACCCTTTTTGTCTCGAAATCATCTTCCATCACTGGTTTTTTTGGAAGAAGCTTAACTAAGCTTAGCTCGGCGAGCGGCTAAAAGCTGACTAAGCCGGCTAGACGTGGGGTCCTTGGCTGCCTATCTTATCTAAGTCAAACATGATAAACAGATCTTTACTCCAGGCAGCTGCCCACCCGCCCACTTCGACGCTTCAAACAACTTCCAACCACCACCATCACACGCAGTTCATTCGATATGGCGTGTATACACATACCCCAGGCTGGTAAGTATATGTTTATGGGCATCGGGATATCCAGAAGCTAACAGGTGCCTAATCTCAAGACCTTAAACCACCAACTGTAAACCAGTCTGTTTATCGTGAAGACTGTACCCTTTGTTTCGACTCGATAGTAGGCTCCCGCGAATAGTCCTGCATTGTATGGGCTTCGAACTGATGAGAATTGTTTTAGGATAATGAGGCGGGGCTAAATGTCTGTCTTCATTGCTTCAATGGAGGCTGTGCTGGGGAGAGACAGCATGCCTCTCTACATAGCCGTCGTCACGGCCACCCGTTGGCACTGAATATCAAGAGAACTAGAAAGCAGGTCGAAGTATGACCGTCACGATGGTAGTTTGATACGAATATTGAGCTAACATTGATATTCTAAGCGTGCCGAACCGCCAGTCAAGATGTCGAAGCTAGCTATTGAAGCTAGCTCTGAGGACGATCAATACGACGTGGCCACAAAAATAGTCTGCCTTGAATGTGGTGTGGACAAAGTGGAAGACTGCCCACCTAAAGCAGCTGAAGTTGTCGACAAACTGATGAAGGCACCCACTTTCTCCCGGAAGGAAGAGGTGAAGGCTTGGGAACAAGAGCTTGTTCCATGCGAGCATACCATAGGTCTACAGCAGGGCTCCAATCAGGGTATCCGAATCAGAGGTATGACCTTGAGGCACATATCCAACCAGTATAGGGGTGTCTAACAAATGTTATAGAACCATCCAAGTGCTACGGATGTGACCTGCAGGAGAACCTTTGGCTCTGCCTGGAATGCGGTACCGTTGGCTGCGGACGAGCACAGTTTGGCGGCATAGGAGGTAACTCGCACGCTCTTGCTCATTCAAATGAAAAATCGCATGGCGTGGCGGTCAAACTTCGATCCATTACCCCTGAGGGTTCTGCGGATATCTACTGCTATACATGTAATGATGAGAGGACAGACCCGGAACTGGCACAGCACCTATCCCACTGGGGAATCAATATTGCGGAGCAGGAGAAAACCGAGAAAAGCTTAACCGAGCTCCAAATTGAGCAAAACCTGAAATGGGACTTCTCAATGACTTCTAATGATGGACAAGTATTAAACCCAGTCTTTGGACCTGAGCTTACTGGACTCAAAAACCTCGGAAACAGCTGTTACATTGCCAGCGTCTTACAATGCCTATTCTCATTGCCGGAATTCAAGGCTCGCTACTTCAAGCCCAATGAAGAGCCTCCATCTTCCTCTGCTCCAGCTGAGGACCTTGAGACTCAACTAAGGAAAATAGCTGATGGTCTCCTTTCTGGGCGTTATTCTGTGCCAGACCCAGCGGCAGCTGGTAGTACCTCGGATGTTGTTTACCAGCGTGGACTCTTGCCATCCATGTTCAAACACATGATTGGCCGAGGCCATCCCGAATTCTCAACCATGCGCCAGCAGGATGCATTCGAACTACTTCTGCACCTTTTCAAGATTATCAGCGTATCCACACACTCTGCTTCTGATCCGAATCCGGTAGAATCATTCAGATTCGCTGTTGAGCAACGATTGCAATGTACATCATGCAAAAAGGTGCGGTACAAGGTCGATGAGCAGGACAATATCTCAGTTGAGGTTCCGGCAATCCGACTCAATCATTTTATGCCAGGGCCTGGAACGGATCAGAAGTGGGAAACAGTACCTCTTGAAAATTGTATTGATCTGTTCACAAGGGAAGAACATGTCGAATTGACTTGTTCGGGCTGCGGAAACAAACAATTCTCCAAACAGACGCTGTTCAAAACACTCCCACAGAATCTCATTGTTAATGCACGACGATGGGAGGTAGTGAACTACGTGCCTATGAAGCTTGACATACCCGTGGTGGTTGGTAATGAGCCACTGGATCTGACCCAGTATCTCTCAAAGGGCAAACAGGAAGATGAAGAGGTCCTGGAGGACGAACCTGAAAGCGCTGCCCCTGAATTTGTGCCGAACTCGGATGCCTTTGCTGCCCTATGCGGCATGGGCTTCCCCGAGAATAGGGTGAAGAGGGGACTGTTCAGTACTGGTAACTCGGACCAGGAGGCAGCTTTGAACTGGATCCTCGCTCATATGGATGATCCAGACATCGACCAGCCCCTGGTAACTGGCGCGGGCTCTGCTTCTGGCGCCCAGAAACCTGCCGACGGAGATGATAAGATCAACCAGCTGGCTGACATGGGTATTGAGAGAGATAGGGCTGAGAAGGCACTTGGGGCCACAGACTGGGATGTGACGAGAGCTTTGGACTGGGTCTTTAGTCATCCCGATGAACCTCTTGAGCCGAATCCTACAGCAGCCACAAACAGCTCGGGCCCATCAGGCAGCATCCCGGGATCCAGCGAGAAGCCAGCCTTGTTCGACCTGCAATCCATCGTCTGCCACAAAGGCACCTCAGTTCATGCAGGGTAAGAAAAGCCATCATCCTCCGCCCTCGTATTTGTCAACTTTGCTAACTTAGAAAACCAACTGAAGTCACTACGTTGCTTTTATCCGCAAGCAGGTCCCGCCAGAGAAGGAGCCGAGGTGGATTCTTTTCAACGATGAGAAAGTCGTGGCCGAAGCTGGTGACATCAAAGAGATGAAACAGTTTGCGTACATATACATATTCCGTCGTGTGTAATTTTCGCATTTGCAGGGGTTGTTGGGTGGTGGTGCATGATTAAGTAGTGACTATTCGCATGGGGTTTACCGGGGGCTGCAGTCAAGAATGGTACACAGGACGAAGAAATAATTTTTTTTTTTCTTTTTTTCTTTTCAATGAAGATCAGGGGAATAGTACATAGTTATGGAAGTTCGTTGAATTGTTGCATGCACTACAGAGTGCCCCGTCCCAGATTGAAACAGAATACAGAAGGCCTGCTCTAGCACAAAGTGATCGATCGTATTAGTATTAATTCCTTGAAATGCTCAGCCCGCGATGCCTGGTTTCACCCCTCGCTAGAAAAAAAGAAAAGAACGCTGCAGATGATGTGAGAAGGGGAAAAACCCATGGATATGAAGCATATGAAAGGGGCTGCGATAGGGGCGTTATAGAAGTATGAATAATATCAACATTTAACGTAAACGGGGCATATATATATGTATAAACCAATGGGTGTATATATCTACATAAGTATTGTGGGTGAGGCCGTAACGGCTATCCATCCGAAGTGAGGACGGTAGCTCGGGAAGCGGTAGAAGGTGAGCGCGAAGGAGTGCTGTAGCTGTTGATGGTATCTCGATTATATAAGGACGGAGCAGGAAGCGGTAGCCGGGGTTCGCTATTGGTCAATGTGCGTAGAGATATGGTATTTGGTGGTTCGTTCTTGGCCCTCTGTATGGGCGAAGGATCGAAAGAAGTGGATACGGGCGACTTTTCAGAGCAATCACCTGTCGTGCCTGACTCGGAGATGGTGGGCTGCACGCACGACGACTTTGAGAAGAGGCCTCGCAGGAACGGCTTTAGTTTGGCGGTAGTTTGTCTGCGCGGGAGCTGGGCTGGAGTTAGGGGCCGCTGGCGAGGTTTGAAGGATTGGGTGGGCCATTGGTGGATGGGGATGTCTGAAAGGGCCAGTTCGGGAAAGTGTTTTTCGATGTAAGATAGAGGAGCGCCACGTTCGAATTCAGGGAGAGAGACGACATTTTCGTATGCGAAGGTGCGAGAGTCGATGCTGTCTCGCGGGATCTCGCCCAGGGATGAGCCGAGTTCGACCGACTTGAGCACCTGGGTCTTGGTTGGGGAGGAGCCTGGAAGTTCGGAAATATTTGGAGACGTGGGGGAGCCGACCAGTTCGGGGATCTTGGGAGGCTGCAAAGGATGAGAGCCAACGAGCTCCGGTAGGTCTGGAATGTCAGGGGTAGTGGTGTGTATGCTTATTGAAGATGGAGAGGTGATAGTTGCGGAAGAAGAGGGAGCTCGGACGGGAGAATGCGGCCTGGGGGAGCCTGTGGTGGAGAGGTTCGTTTTGGAGGGAGTTGGAGAGTGGTTCTGGTTGCTAATGGAGGAGAAGCGGTGCTGTAATTTTGCGCCAAAGCGCTTGAGGGAGAGGATTGAGCGGTTTCTCTGCCGTATGTCCGGGAGAGGCTTGTCTGCATAGGAGGCTCGCTGGTGGGCCTCATGCAGATTGTCCATGGAGACCACGGCCCGCGGTGGAGGAAACATATTCGGCGAAAGAGTGACAGAGCGCTATAATAGTTGGGGCCAATTAGAATAAGTAAAGGGAAAGTAAGTAAAATGGGGAGGGAGGGAAAGGAGGGAAAAGGTGGACGAACCGTACTACCAGCCTGGTTGAGGCCAATTTGGAGTCGTAGCCGGGAGATAGAAGAGGAGAGATTGACAAGAAACTCGACCAAGCGGACACCCTGGGCTTGGAGATTCGACAGACTGGTAAGCCAGAGGCCAACACGTTGGAACATGTCGGCGTAGACGCCCCCAAAGGATGGTGACCATGTGTGTTGGTGCTGCGGAATGATGTTCAGGTAGTCCTTGACGGTGCGCACGGCGATGGCGGCCTTTCTGAGATCCTTGAGGGAGTCCTGGAGGGCAATCTCCGAGCGGCGGACGACATGGTTTATCTTGCTGATGCAGTCAATGAGGAAGAGTTTGAAGGACTCGTCGCCGAGCATGGAGTCGAGCACGTCCAGATTGGCCAGGGGCACGGCGAGCAGATCGAACCGCGCGGTAAGATCCTCGTGGGCGAGCTGGTAGTCCTCCATGGTGCGGCGTACAAAGCCATCGATCTCGGCGACGTGTACTCGCAGGATCTGGACGGACTCGAGTTCTGACCTGGCTGAGCCGGTGGCGAGTAGGTGAATGCCAAAGGAGACCTGGGCCATGATTTTCCAGAGCGGATGGTATCTCTCGCCGGCACGCTGCTGCCATTTGCCGGAGCATGACCGCTGGTACTTGGGACTCTGGAGAAGCTGCTTGCGCCGGGTAACGGCATCCGGCGGGGAGAGGACGCGCTGGTTGAAGCCGTGGATGGACTCGAGGATGGACTCTTCGAAGGGGCCCTGGAGGTGCGCAATGGGGTGTGTAGGCCGGTAAACCTCTGATTCAGCCGTAGAGGCCGCGACTGAGGCTGGCGATGTAGGCGATGGCTCTGTCGCAGCCGCGGAGGTGGTCGTGGTTGTGGAGGTTATGGACGAGGCCATTGTAGCGTGCAGTTGCAGTTGCAGTGCGTAGTTATATGTATGTAACTAACTAGCCGTCCGGACAGGCGGCCGCGGGTGCGCATGAAGGCGCGACAGGTGTTGTTTTCTCTTCTGGTCGTCGTCGTCGTCTCTAACCAAAGCCCCAGGAAGGATTAACTAAGGCATACTGTGACATAATTGAGCCCCAGCGCCGGTCGTTGGTTGTTAATTAATCCAGGGGTCGTATAGGCCAGCGTCGACTAGTAGGGGGTAAGCGAGCGGAGGCGATAACGAGGGATTGCACGATAAGCCGCAGCCGATGCAGCCGACGCAGAGGGCGACCGACAGACGGCAGCCCGGGACGCGCGAGGAGACAGGCCGAGGCGCTGCGGGAGCAAAAGTAACGGCGTCAACGGCGACGCAAAGAAACGGCGAGCGTTGCGTGGGCGTTGGAAGTTTGTTCGTTCTGCAGGTTGCGATGCGATGCGATGCGAGAAGGTTGGAAGAAGAACTTGAAGAAAGCCGGAAAGTTGAAAGTTAAAGAGGCAAAACAAGGTTTTTGGCAGCTTTGTTTTTTAGGTTGCTGAGTCAGCATGCAGATAGGCAGAAGCTGGAAAGTTGCGAGAAGACGAGAAGACGGACGGAGATACAAGAAAGAGACGACGAAGACGAAGAAGATAGTAAAAGAAGAAGAGGAGAAGAGAAGAAGAGGAGAAGAGAGATGAAGAGGGCGGCGAGCATCACGTCGAAGGAGGCAAAGAAGCCCAAGTCGACGATCACGGCATTCTTCGCGTCGTCGCCAGGCTCAGGCACAGCTGCATCGGCAGCTCCAAGGGCCGCGTTCGACAAGGCCAAATGGACGAGCAGCCTGACAGCCGAGCAGCGGGAGCTGCTGAAGCTCGAGATAGACACGCTGGACGAGAGCTGGCTGGCTCATCTCACGGACGAGCTGCTCTCGCGCGAGTTCCTGGCGCTGAAGCGTTTCCTGCGTGACGAGAAGAAGTCTGGCGCCAACATCTTCCCCCCCGAGCAGGACATCTACTCATGGTCAGCCCGCCTCCCCCCTCCCCCCGTTACTCTCTGCTTTCCTACGGGGCGTACAGACGCTAACTTGCTAACTCGCGGGCTTGCACAGGTCGAGGTACACGCCACTGCACAAGGTCAAGGCGGTCATCATAGGCCAGGACCCGTACCACAACCACGGCCAGGCTCACGGCCTCTGCTTCTCCGTACGCCCGCCTACGCCAGCTCCCCCTTCGCTCAAGAACATCTACCTTGCCCTGAAGAACGACTACCCGGCCTTCGAGGAGCCCGCCAACCGCGGAGGGCTGCTCACCCCCTGGGCCCAGCAAGGGGTGCTCCTGCTCAATACCTGTCTCACTGTCCGAGCTCACAACGCAAACTCCCATTCGCAGCGTGGCTGGGAGCGTTTCACCCAGCGGGCCATCGACCTTGTCGCCCGTGTGCGCACAAAGGGGGTCGTCTTCCTGGCCTGGGGTAGCCCGGCAGGCAAGAGGGTGTCTGGAGTCAACAAGGAGAGACACTGTGTTCTGCAGTCTGTCCATCCAAGCCCCCTCAGTGCCCACAAGGGATTTGTACGTATACCACGCATGTTGCTGCTGCTGCTGCTGCTGCTGCTGTTGTTGTCCATCATTCTGGGCCTCGGGCTGACTCTTTCTAGTTGACGTGCGGACATTTTAAAAAGGCCAATGACTGGCTGCAGACTCGATACGGGGACGACGGTATCATTGACTGGAGTCTCACCTCGAAGCCCCTCGTCACTGTCACCTCTGTCACCACTGCCACAGAGACAGTCGAGGGGGACGGCAAGACAGATACAGTATCAAAGGCAACTGCAGAAGAAAAGTCAGATACTATATCGAAGACTGCTACTGTTACTTCCACTGCCACCGCTACTACATCTAAATCTACTGCTACCAAGGTAGATGACGATAATAATGATGCTGACAGTGACTATGGTCAGGACCTCATCGAGGACGAGACCAAGTAGTCTCACTTCTTTGCTTTCCATGTTGATTTTCTGTGTTTCCAGCACTCATTTCTTTCTCAGCAGGCGTTCACCTCTTTTATTCTTGATATACTGATCAATTTTGAGATCAAATTTCTTGTACCATTGTCGAAAGTTCCATAGAATTCAGCTTGCATTACAAGGCCTGGATCAATCTATAGAGGCAAAAAAAAAAATGAAGCAGAGGAACTAAAAAAAAAAAGAAGAAGACGAAAAAAGAGCGCAATAACTAGAGTGAGGTGGTCTCAAGCATCCACACTCACCAAGTTGCTGTACAAAGAAAGTACTTTACAGGATATCTTCCATTTTTCATTTCTTCCCTAAACACAAGCAACACAACCAGCTCATCGTCGGTACCACATACGAGTGATTTTTGTGTTTCGCATCTTCCTTTGCAGCTGGAAGATACCGTACATCAGCGCTTCAGACGTGGGGGGGCCTAGACCACAGTCATTAGTCAACGTCCATCAAAAACTTGTCGAAGTCGAGGTTGAAACTTACAGCCAGGAACGTAGATGTCAACAGGTACAATTCTGTCACATCCACGAGTGACAGAGTAACTGTAGTGATAGTATCCACCGCCATTGGCACAGCTGCCCATACTAATCACCCATCGTGGTTCCGGCATCTGATCATACACCTGTCTCAAGGCCGGAGCCATCTTGTTCGTCAATGTGCCGGCAACAATCATCACGTCAGACTGACGCGGCGATGCTCGGAAGATAATCCCCAGCCTGTCCTGGTCGTATCGGGGTGTAGACAGATGCATCATCTCTACGGCACAGCATGCCAGTCCAAAGGTCATAGGCCACAGAGAGCCCTGGCGAGCCCAGTTTGCTACCTGGTCAAGCGTAGTCCTACAAATTTCCCCATTAGCAATTGCACCCCCACCACTTAGCATTCCTCGGGATGCAGGGGCAGAAATATATAGAAATTAACGAACAATGCATAGTCGAGAACACCCTGGGGTTTCTCTTGGCTGGGCAGAGGCACCTCTCTCCTTGGTTTCCGCGTAGGGACAGATCCGGCTGTAGACTGGAGGGCGCTCGACTGCTCAGGCGCAGCTTGTGTCGACTGAAATCTGGAGCCGGAAAGGGCCGGCAGAGTGGTAGAAAGGATTGGGCGATGCTGGCCTGTTGTATTATATATATCCCTCTTGTTCAGCATGGCGCATTACCATATGAAGCAGGAAAAAAAAAAGAGAGAGAAACCCACCCAGCAGCCTGACGGCAAAGTTACCTCCCCGCGAGGGATTCATTGCCGCTATTGTGATCTAGAGAACAGTTGACGGACGGATGCTCGGTCTTCTCGCGCTTCCGCTCGCTGTCGCTCTCGTCCTCTGTTTTCTGATGTCGTCGTCGCTTTTTTTAGCTAATACTTTATATCGCGGCTGTGATAGGATGGCTGGTGCTTTCACGTGATATCATGTGATTCAGCGGAGCATCGGAGGCGACTTTATCTGATCCTCTTGGTTTCTCCGACTTTTGCTCCAGATAAGTTCCAACTCTTTTTTCCTCCTCGCTGCCCTCGCTCGCTCTCGTTCTCTCGCCCAGGCAGACCCAGACGCAGAGAATATCATATTACACACTCCTTTACAATGTTCAGACGAGCCGTTTCTCTTGCTCCCAGAGCGGCCAGATGTATCGCATCTCCGGCTGTATCACGGCCGGCCTTGACGCCACTCGCTCCGGTGTCTGCGCTCACCTTCCGAACAACCAGAAGCTACCATGAGAAAGATATGTCTCCATATGTCTCTTCTTCCTTACCGGTACAGCGGACTTAGCGATCAGCTTGACTGACCTCATGCACTGTTAGATCATTATAGCAACCCACGGAACGTCGGCTCAATGTCAAAGACCGACATGGACGTTGGAACCGGCTTGGTCGGAGCCCCGGCCTGCGGTGATGTGATGAAACTACAGATCAGAGTCGACAAGAGTAACAACACCATCAGCGACGTCAAATTCAAGACCTTTGGCTGTGGAAGTGCCATCGCCAGCTCAAGTTATCTGACCGAGCTTGTACGGGGCATGACGCTTGAGGAAGCCGCTAAGATCAGAAATACCGAGATCGCAAAGGAGCTTTGTCTTCCTCCAGTCAAGCGTGAGTCTTGTCATTAACATGCATAAAATGATCAAATGCTAACAAAATAGATAGTGCACTGCTCCATGCTCGCGGAGGATGCTATCAAGTCGGCCATCAACAACTACTACTCGAAGAACCCAACGGCCACCGACCTCTCTGGCACCGGGGCTTCCATCGCTGAAGTGGCCGCTCAACCCGCCGCTCAGCCTGCTACCACTACGCCTCCCGCCTCAAATTAAGTCGTCTTCGGTCTTGTTTATAAATAATATTTTATCTGACTATTTACCTACCGCCCATCATGGGACATGATGTACTGGTCTGTTATTCTTGTTTCTGTGTTCAAGAAAAATATCCCCATGAGCCATTCTTTTCTTACCGGCCATAAGCTGGAATTACCTTGACGCCAAAGCAGCGCAAATTGTATATTTTCTTTTGAAACCTGCGCTACCAAACGTATAATTCCTCAGAGAATCAATCATTCACGTTCTCAGATTAATCATCTCCTCCCTTGCTTCTGCGTCGAAGTCTATCTATCACAAGTCTGTAAATATGCGTATGCCCTTCTAGTGGGAAGTGGCCATGATATCTTCGTCGAAGGTAGTGGCGTTTCTATTCTTCGCGCCGGCCCTCCGCTGAGCTTTGACTAATCCCTCCATGTAATCTTCTCCCAGTTCAAGCCTCACGTCAATTCTTGCAACATTGTCTATCATAGCCTTGATACGGTTCTTCTCCTTTATGAGAGATGCAGAGAGCTGAGCTTCTGCAGACAGATCCATGCCCGCATTATCCTTACCAAAACGAAGTATGGAAGGCCCAGAGGGGTCTGCAGCCTGGACAAGTCGCGCGTTTAACTGACCATCTGCTATCAGTGAAGCGATATCCTCCTCTAATTCTTGAGCAGAGCTGCATTCGTAAGAGACTCTGTTTGCAATCTCAGGTATTGCTATCGCTGAAAACGCCTTCTCCAGCTTCAAAATAGAGAACCGACGATACGCAGCAGAGAGCTGGTATACAAGGTGGGCGTTCCCATCCTGCTGTAGGTCAATATCATGTCACATCTCGGAATTAAGCTGCTGGAAAAACATTTTTTGTTTTAACTTACCCGATCCCATAGATCAATTCCTACGGACATTTCTGCTTCCAATCTTTGCAGACTACCGTCGCGGAATATGTCTGCAAGCGCTTCATAAGGTCTAGAGAGAGACTTATATATCTTCACTGCAAATGGAGGTATCCCCCGTGGCAAAGCTGAGACCTGGCAAGGGAGTGTTATTGGGGATATTCCGGCATTGATGCAATGCGTTGTAAAAATGGAACAGTTAACCTACCTGTCCCTTAGCTAAAAGACGCACTAGAATCCACTTCTTGTACGCTTCAACCATGATCTTGCTCACAGTATTAGTGACTGGCGCAGCTATAACAATGTGCAGGAACCTCAAAGCGTCATCCCATTCCTTTCGAATCATGTATATCATAGCCCCATATAGATAATATTCAAGATAAGTCTGGTGAGTAATCTTTCCCGCTAGCCCAGAGGAATCCGTAATGAATGTAGAGCTAGATTGATCCTTGACACAGGGTAGTATCTGCGCTCGTTTATGGTATGTTCTATCCACCGATGTAGGTATATGGAAGATAGGTCTCTCTAGTACTGGCAGTGCAGCACGACAAGCGTTAGCTTTAAGACATGTACGCACAAACAACGTGTGTGTTGCTGTCAAGGTTGAACCTGACGGATCCAGCCGAAGCAAGGCATTCTTGAGAGGCTGAATGGCCAGCAATGACTACAAGTATATCAGTTAGACCTCCGCCAAATTGTGCGCCTATTATCTCTGTAATCACATACCTTTTGTGGGGTGCTCGCAATTACTGCAATGATTTCAACTAGCTTTGTGAATTCACGCCCCGCATAGCGGACTTGGACCGGGTCAAATTCCTCAAAGAATATTAATGCTTTCTCCCAGCTTTCCCCGCCCGGCTGAAAGGATGATTTATCAGACTTCTGAGAAATCTGATGACATGCCAGAAGAACATGCAAATATGCCACAGAGTGTATGGCTGGGTCCAGTATCTATATATGCAAACATATTAGGCACCAATGGATATGTATGAGTGGCAATGATAATAATTATATATATGTGCATAAGATGACTTGAAATATTATGCTCACCTCAAGATGATTTCCCTGTCCAGATGTGTTTGAGCCGACCAGAGCACCTAAAGATAGCTTTTTGACACTGACACAGAAGGAACGTATTGTCTTGTCATACTCTGCATCCGATACCTCCGCTGAAGGTGGAAACGACAGCAGCAGCTGAGTTGCCATATTTCGGACGCAGCGTAGATCAATTAAAAAAAGTGAGATTTGAAGAAAGGAGGTACTTGGTAAAGCGTCCCTACACACGCAACGTTATCAGACCGGCTTGAATTAAACACGACAATGGTGGTATAATGCCTAAGGCGGCGGTAACTAGCAAAGACCCGGCTGCAAAACCCGTATTTAACTGCAAAAAAAAGAGACCCAACTCCTGTCGTGAACGTCGTCGAAAGGCGAAGAGAAAAGTACCAAGCAAACGAAGATCCAACATGCAAGCTTGTGTTGACTTTGGAGCGTTTAGAACGAGTGAAGTAGATCCATGGTGAAAGGATGGCTTATGTAAGTATTTTGGTATGTAATATTACGAAGTGATACCGGAGCTAATACGCTATAAATTACTAGCGCGGCACAACTTCAACCCCCACCATTACACATTACAAACATGGTAAGTAATAATATAGTATATTATATCATTCTAGATAATATATATTATTAGCAGTTGCTGCTGCTATCTTATTCCGCAACTATGTCGTTGACTGAATCTTCTCCAGCTGAGATAGCAAAGCTCGCTTCTGCAGGTGCCAGACAGTTGGCTATCCTGTCGTCTGACGCCAGGAACAAGGCGCTTGTGGCCATACATGATGCGCTCAAGCAGAACAAAGATGTCATTCTTCAGGCCAATTCCAGGGATGTCGAAGCCGCTACAAATGCAGTTGAAAAAGGCGATCTCAGCTTAAGCATTCTGAAGAGACTTGACCTGGCTCGGCCTGGGAAGTATGATGATATGCTCAAGGGCATTCTCGATGTCAAGAATCTAGAAGATCCAAGTAAGTATTAAGATATCCCCCCCTGCAATGGTTCGTCATTCGCTAATGTTCTTGTCCTTTTTCAGTTGGGAATATCTCGTTGCGAACAAAGCTAGATGATGGCCTGATCCTTGAACGGGTTAGCTGTCCAATCGGTGTTTTGCTGAAATCTTCGAGGCTCGCCCTGAAGTCATTGCCAACATTGCGGCTCTCTCCATCAAATCTGGAAACGCTGCTATATTAAAGGGTACGTAAAATCCTAAGGAGTTTATAAGGAAATACTGACATTGACCGTGCGGCAGGCGGAAAGGAGTCAACCGAGTCATTCATAGAAATATCTAGAGTAATAGCGGAAGCTGCGGCTACGACGGAAGTGCCAAAGGCCGCCGTCCAGTTAGTCAAAACACGAGATGCAATTCTCCCACTTTTGGCACTGGATGACCATATTGATTTGGTGATCCCACGAGGCTCAAATGACTTGGTGAAGTTTGTGAAAACGAATACAAAGATCCCTGTCCTTGGCCATGCAGACGGGAGATGTGCTATCTACCTTCACTCGGATGCCGATGTTAATATGGCTGAGCGGGTTATACTTGATTCAAAACTACACTACCCTGCTGCTTGCAATGCTGCAGAGACACTTCTGGTTGATGAAAGAGCACTATCAACTATCTTTCCTAGGGTAGCTGCAGCATTAACTGCCAAGGGAGTCACTATGAAGTGTGACCCAAAGTCCAAGGCTGCACTCCAAGATAAACTGGATTCGAACCAGCTTGCGTTGCTCAAAGATGCAACCGAGGAAGACTACAGCACAGAGTTCCTCGAAGCAATCATAGCTGTGAAAACTGTTGAGGGAACAAGTGACCAGTCTTATGTAGATGCAGCGATCTCACACATTGGGGGGCACTCATCAAAGCATACAGATGTGATATTGACATCTACGAGGGAGCTTGCTGAGCGCTTCTTGAGTGCGGTTGATAGTGCAGGCGTCTACTGGAATGCTAGTTCTAGGATGGCAGATGGAATGAGGTATGGCTTTGGCACAGAGGTTGGAATCAGTACCAACAAGATTCACTCAAGGGGCCCTGTCGGATTGGAAGGCTTGACGATATACAAATATCTAATCCGGGGGGAAGGCCATATTGCGGGTGACTACTTCCAGGGCGAAGGTGGTAGGACCTGGAAACATGAAAAGATGGACATTTGATTTGAAAAACACAGTATGCTTACATAGACACCAGATTGAACTAAAGATTTGTTACGTTTCATTGCAGTTCACAGTATCGAAAGGAGGTCATGTCATTTCGGTAAAAGAATTATTTCACATTAGAGAGGCCCTCTAGCAGCCGTGTGGGTGAAAGGGGGTAGGAAATTCATTTCATTTCAATCACAAGTACAGCTACACTATTTTTATAAGCTGACCTTTGAAACAGTATCCCATCAACAGCCATTTTAAACCTTGAAACCACGCGATCTTCTTCGTCCACGAGCCCGCTCGAATTTGCGTCCCTTGCTGGCAACAAGTGGTTTCTATAGTAGTAACACGTTAGTTCCATATAACCATCCGCAAAAGAGGTATATCATCAATCTAAAACTAACCTTTCCGCTGTGTGGGCCGAATCCGAAGTGCTTGACGGCCTCACGAGAGTTCTTTGGCCCGCGCAACAAGATGGTGTTAGCACCAGTTGGGGCTCTGAGAGCGAGCTGGTCCAAGGTCAAAATCTCACCGCCGGCCTTCTCGATTCTGGCTCTGGCGGAGGAGGTGAAACGCAAAGCCGCAATGGACATCTTTGGGACCTCGAGTAGACGGTTGTCATCGGTGATAGTGCCGACAACGACAATGGTCTTTCCGGCAGCGGCTTCCTCTGATCCCTTCTTAACGCTAGATACGATGCGCGAAAGAGAGACTGGTGGGCGGTTGATGCGGGACATGAAAAGACGACGGAGGATGACCTTGTTGAAGTTGGCGTCCGTACGGCCTATAAATCACACAGAAAACGCCCCTGGTTAATTTCAAGCACTTCCTTCCACACTTTGAACATTTTCTTCCGCGTTCGCGATTTCGGAGGGGTTCATTCAAGACGTACGGGCTAGGAAGCGGTAAAGCTTCACGAGGAGCTGAAGGTAAACATTGTCGCTCTTTGGAGCCTTCCGGTGGGTGTTGCGGACGTGGTGACGGTCCAAATCGATACCTACAATTATTGTGTATTAGCATAGGATGAAATAACTAGTTTTCTAGCTTCTTGACAGCCGTGAACACGAGATGACAGTCTGAAAGCTGCTCAAGATGTGGAAAGATACAGCTACTTACCCATGGCTGCGGTGCGAAATTGTCTTGCTGATGGACTTCTTTTCGCAGCGGCGTGGTTGAACAACTGCTCGGGTTTTAAGAATTTTTGGCGATGAATTTTGGTGAGTGGAGTGTGTGGGAAGAAGCCCTACGCTAGTCCAAAAGTAGAAGAGATCACGTGATATAAAACTCAAGGCTGAGTATGCAGGTTTCGTTAAGAGCTTGACGCCTGTCGAGGTGCATCATCAGTTGTAAGGGTGACGACAATGACGATGGGATGGAAGAATATAACAGTGGTGTTTTTGATGTTCATGTTGTATCTACCACGAGCGCCTCGGAGCCGATTGAACCAAATGTAGCCAAACTCCTCATTAAACCAATTACATGACAATTACATGATTATGAACGACACGCTCAGGAGAACTATGTAGCAAAGAGAAACCCCACTGCCGTAGGAATAACTAAACCAGGAAACCGTATTAATGACCTGCTATGCCTGGCGCCCACGTTCTACCAATCCGGTTGACCTCTTCAACAAATTGGCGGCTAGCAATCCCCTTTGGCTTTGACTGTGTCTGGCTTTCCTTCCCAAGGACGTTATCGTCTGGGTTGTAGAAGGGGTTCTGCAGTAGTTTTACATATGCTGTTTGCAATGCTCGGAATGCCTGGGTCAAAATATAAGCATGTTCTGTACATAAAAGGGGGTAGTATCATGCCCATACCGGCTTTAAATCAGAATCCCGCAGCCCGACAACGGGTAGAGGTCGCTCATGCGCTGATGAATGCGCTGAAGTCCTCCCTTCGAGGTCCACGACTATGGCAAACTTGACTCCAGTGTTGGTCAACCATCCGTAAACAGAGAGTCTTTCATCCAAGGCGTGGAGGAGACCAAGGTCCTGGTCCACGGATGTGTGTTGTTGCCGCATATCAAAGATATCTAGACTTGAGTTTAAGATGAATGAGAACTCGAGCTGGTCGTCTACATGTGGCTCAAAGAGGGACATATGTAGCAGATTGTTCTTTTGCCCGCGGTGGTGGTGGAAGTCAGCTTATAAGTAAACGAATAGATATCGGGAGGAACGTTCAAACCTGTTTCCCAATAATGCCGATGCAGGCAATCGACGGGGATCCCATTGTGATATTCTGGATGATCTGGTAGAACGGAATTAGAGTAGATGTGAACTCGAGTAAGTGGCGTTATTTGGTTAATTAGAAGGGATGTTGAGTTTGGTAGGATGCCGGCTAAAGAAATATACATATTATTGTCTAACTGGAGTGCTGAGCCACCAACCACGACCCGATTACTCTGTACGTACTCTAAACGCAAGGTGACATCAACGCAGTAAGATGGATACCCCCAGAATACTCAATTACTCAACTACCAATCTTTACCTCAAAGAAAGCTGATGCTTCTTTTAAATAGAATTTAAATTCGCTAAAAATTCCAGTAATAATCAACATATAAATTTTTATTGATAACCACGAATTAGATATTTAATTCAGCTAGCAAGAGCCTGTCAGCGTGGCTTGAGCAAGGATACACCACCAACCTGGTAAAACCCGTCTCTTAAGGTTATGGTAATAGAAAAGATGCCACAGAGCTCTAAGTTAGATTTTACCTAACGCTGTTAAAAGGTGTTTATACATCGCAAGAAGACCCAGTTGCCCACTGAAAAACGAATAGAAACATGCAAGCAAGGACGAAGGAAAAGGAGATTAAGGATAGAGAACCGAGGTGATAGAAGCAATAGAACGGGCGCGAAATCATGACCTGTGAGGAGTGTTAACTGTTGGAGTAGAGGGATACTACCCAGTAAAAGCAACTAGTTCCTCACTCCCGTGCGGAATAACATAAAGCGACGATTCTGTAAGGGCGAAAGAGACGGTTTTCCGGCGTTAAGGCGGAAAAGGGGGGAAACTTCGCAACTTGGAGATTGACCTACTCAGCAGTGTCCAACTCGTCATGTGCTGGGGGAGGAGAATCCATGGGAACTATATCGGGTCAGTTGATGAAAATTGACGCCAAGGAAACCAAGAGGTGGTATTATTTACCTTTCCTTTCATCTCCGTTAGTGGTACCATTCTCACGCTCACTTTCGCGACGTTCACGGTCATCCCGGTTGTCTCGGTCTCGGTCCCGGTCCCGGTCACGGTCACGGTCGTCAGGGCTGCGAGAACGGTCTCTCTCACGACGCTCAAAGTCACGGTCGCGACGGTCGTCCTTACGGGGAGAGTAGTCGCGGCCTCGTCGTGGAGATGGCGAGCGGTGACTGCGGCGTGGGGGAGTGCGTTCCCGACGGCGGTCACTCCCGGAATCGAAGCGCCATGACGCAGATGGAGGAGTGCGAGCCCACTAATAAACAGGTAAGTCTCACGCCAGAAGACATATGTGAGTGTTGGACCGAAACTTACCTCAATCTTCAAAACGTCATCACGGCCGATGCGCTTGTTGTGCATCTCATGGTAAGCGTCGTCAGCATCGCGACGACTCTCATACTCCACGAAGGCAAAGCTGAAAAATACCATTAGCATGCCCCTTGTACCACAATAGCTTAACCCAGGTCTATATTTATCTTACAGTCGGCTTGAAGCTGTTCTGGGAGCTGGGATATCGCACCTCACGAGGCGCCCATATCTTTAGTAAAAAAGTTAGCAAGACAATACGTATCGCTGGCGACCTTCTTTGCTCTTGACTGGGAAGAGTAAGGATAAGAGATAGTATATGCATATAATTCCGTATGAGCCTCACAACAAGAACCAGTCAGGGGGTATATGGTAGAAGCTATTTGATGGACGAGGGAGCTCATCGTGAACAGAACTTGATGCCAAGGGCGTTCGGGGGAGGCGTAGGACCGTTGACGAGACAGGAAGACAGGAAGAAAAGAATATCGCTTTGTTTGACGGTTCGGACTCAAGACGTAGAGAGAAGGATCGGTCGAGAGGTATCGATCAGGGGGAGCTCGACGATGAGGACATACCGTTCGAATTCGTAGGCGAGTTCTCGGGCTCGAGTGCCGTGGCCAAAACCGGTAACGTAGAGCGTGGTGCCGCCGCCACGAGACATGGTGAAGGGTCAAAAAGACTAACGGGGGGAGGCCCTACTATAGAGAATATAATTTATATGCGTCGTACAGACGTGAAGCAAAACGACTGCGCTGTGTCTAGAGCTCGTCGTTCGTCCTTCAGGCAGCAGAAGTCGACGTTGTTCCAAGGTTGTTGTTGTTGCAAGGAGGAAAGGGAAAAAAGGGCAAAGAAAAAAAGAAATGGAAAAGGAAGGAGGCCCGGAAAAACACCGGAGCAACCTTAGTCCGCGATTATGTAATATATGACGTAAGCCCGGCGAAGTCAACGGGAATTTCAGCTTTTCTCTTTTCTTTTCTTTTCTTTTTCTTTTTCTTTTTTTTTTCCCTTTTTCTTTTTCTTTTTTCTCGCTCTTTTTGATCTTCATCACCAAGAAAAAATAAAATAAAATAAAATAAAATAAAAAAAGGACAACAACTGTCAAGACTGCTATGCAAAGGGCGCTTCACCATCCTCTGGATTAACACAGGTTGTAAGTAGATCATTTGAACACCAGAGCATTGGCTGTTCTTTGCGTTGTTCACTCCCGTCACCTGCCCAGGCTTAGATGGATCCGTGACTGAGCCAGCCGTCACTTGTCGCCCTTTTTGTCGCCAGCCCGGATATTAAGTCGAGATCCCCCTATCAAGCCTCGCCTGGCTCTCGATATCCGGATGGTTTAAGACAGCATTCAGTCGACTCAACGACCAATCTCCCCTCCAGCCACCCTCTATTTCGGAGCATGTTTCGCTCTAGATACTTCACTGTTGCCATTTACCCCTCTTGGGTCTAGCTTTCGCCTTTCTCCAGACCAGAGTCCATCCCTCAGCCAGTTGCGCGCAAGAGCAGTTTTCACGGCTACAAGGATATAAAACCGGGGCATATTTAGGTAGCTCCATTTGCAAGTCAACCGATAGTAGGACTGTTGCCGATTGCTTTTCGGGCCTGGAGCTACTCGATTGTACCCCTCACGATGAGTCTCAATCGCAAAGATGATAACCCGGATGACAGGGCCGCTCTGCGTCACGGCTTGACGCAGCTACCTGCCGGAGCTGCAGAGGTATTCCCACAGGCACAGGTTAGATCTTTCTTTCGATGGAATACAGCTTCTCTCTACCAAAATGACAATCAATGGGCTAGGCTAACTGTGGCTTGAATTTCATTTTTATAGGTCAAGCAAAGAAATACTGCTCTCGCTGCAGTTACGGACAGGTTAGCAGAGCCCGTCGTGGCGGCCTTCATTGGCGGTGGTGTTGCAGGCGCCGTGTCCAGAACGATTGTGTCCCCGCTGGAACGGCTGAAGATTCTCCTTCAGGTCCAGAGTGTTGGTCGAGAAGAATACAAACTCTCCATAAGCAAGGGTCTTGCCAAAATGTGGAGAGAAGAAGGCTGGAGAGGATTCATGCGTGGTAATGGAACGAACTGTATTCGAATTGTTCCATACTCCGCAGTCCAATTTGGAAGCTACAACTTATATAAAAAGGTACCGGGCATGGAAGACGTTCTTCATTGTGAGAGGACATTGCTGGATGATGCTAACTGGCGTCAATCATAGGCATTTGAACCGACACCTGGTGGAGAGCTGACTCCCCTGAGACGGCTTACATGTGGTGGACTCGCTGGTATAACTTCTGTCACTTTCACTTACCCGCTGGATATCGTACGCACCCGCCTTTCGATCCAGTCAGCATCCTTTGCGGAACTGAAAAACCAGCATCAAACAAAACTACCTGGGATGTATGAGACAATGCGCCTCATGTACAAGAATGAGGGTGGCATCGTTGCATTATACAGAGGAATTCTCCCGACCGTTGCCGGCGTGGCTCCTTATGTATGTCTTACCTCAAGGATCTCTCCCCAATGATCAAAAATATAGTATCGGCTGACCGTGCGAAAGGTTGGATTAAATTTCATGACATATGAATCTATACGAAAGGTCCTCACACCTGAAGGTGATGCGAATCCAAGTGCTCTGAGGAAGCTACTAGCAGGAGCCATATCAGGTGCTGTGGCTCAAACATGCACATATCCATTGTAAGTCTCTCCTCAACCGCCAATTCCACCAGACTCCCAACTTACATGAACTCAAGTGATGTTCTCCGCCGTCGGTTCCAGATAAATACCATGTCTGGTATGGGATACAAATACACATCCATCTTCGACGCCGTCCGAGTAATCGCTCTTGAAGAAGGCCTCCGCGGTTTCTACAAGGGCATCGTTCCTAACCTGCTAAAAGTTGCCCCAAGCATGGCCAGCAGCTGGCTCAGTTTTGAGCTTACACGGGATTTCTTCGTCGGTCTATCAAAATAGACCATCCTCGCTAACTACCAGATTTCCTTCGCAATCTCACGCATAGATTCATATATCTCCTCTGTTATGTCGATCTTCTTCGTGTTTCGATATTGGTTGGCATCTAGAGCATCCTGGTGATTCCCTGACCCCAGTAACTTCCTTTCTACCTTCTCTTCCTCAAATAACTTCTCATCGTTTGCAGCATTCTCTCTTTTTTCATATTTCTGTTTTTTCAAAAAGCGGCGATTGGTTTCTCTTGAGGGAGACGGAACGACTAAATAGATGTAATTTTAGCTTTGGCCAGATCTAGGACTAGACTTTTCTTTGATTAGATAGAACTATTTTCCTTCGGTTTCCAAGGGTTTAATTCTAGCCTTAGAGAAATATTAATCTCATTGGCCTAGCTAATTCATGAAAAATATGTTTATATATTTTATACCTCTACCGATTTTTCATTGTGTCATCACCCTGATTGCCTGCAAAAGGATGGCAAAGACGAATGCCCTGCCAACGGATGGTATCTGTAAACAATCAAATATTTTCCCTAGCGCCTCTCCTGTTGCATTTGCGCCCATTATACCCATCAGAGCCGGTGGCATACCTCGGCTTATCAGTAGCGTCCGTGCCTTAATTCTAAGCAGTTCTTTCTGTTCCGGCGAGAGTGGAGGGGGATACGCCTTCATATCCTCTTCTGTTGGCAAGCTACTTTTGTGTAGCTTGGTTATATACCCAGCGAGAGCCTCATCAGACGTATTACTATCAATTATTGAATCTTGGAGAAGAGTCCGAATAGCTTCCAAACTAGGGTTGCCAGGGCGGAGGAGGAAAGACTTTGAGGCGTTGAGCAGTCTCTTCCGAATATTCCATGCTGATGACAGACTGTACACTTCGTTTATCACAGCAAAAAGAAGCTCAACCACGACTACTGCTTCTTCCTCGGAAACCGGGGCGTAACTACGACCTTCTGAGCTTTTCTTTGGGGGTGGTTCCACATCACCCGAGCTAGAAGATCCAGGTTTATCCCTAGTGGCCGGCTCTTTGTTGGACTCAACATTGGCCTCTGAAGAAAGGGCTCCATGCACTGTATCTGGGGTATCTGATGACGACAGTGGTGTAACATTTCCTTCGTCAGCTAAATTCTCACACGAGCTCGCCAGCGAACTATCAGCATGAGTGATAGAAGTAGGCAATCCAGAGCCTATATCTCCTGATTCATTTTCTAGATGAGTTGGCTGTCGCTGGAAAGTCGCTCTAGGTCGATCTTGCAAGTTGCTCATTGATAGGTTCTTAGAGTGGGCTGTGACGTTGGTCACGGGTGATGGCAGGATATCCATTGAGGTACCCCGTACAGCCGTAGGTCTGCTTGCTGCATTACTGCTGGCTCGCTTCCTGTTATCATTCCCCGATGCCCCGAATATTCCCGAGACTCCACCGACGATGGCCTTCTTACTGTTTGCAACACCCTTTGGCGCAGTCCCCAGGACGCCCATTACTCCTTTGCCAACGTTCTCAAAAACAGCCACAGGTGCTGCGAATGGAAACCCAGACTTTGACGAAGCGGACTCTGGCTCAAGACCGGATTGTCGTCCTTTTTCCAAAAACTTCTTCATCCCCTCACACTCTGCTAGCTGCTCATATTGCAAAGCTGTCTGGAGGTATTTCTCAAGAGAAATTCGTAAGCCATTCCTGTTTCTGCCTTTCCACCCGGGTAATTCATTATGGTGTAGCGAGAAATCAGAAATTCCAGATACAACAGAAATTCGTCGTAGAGTCTCATGCAGTATTTCAAAGTCGCTATATTTCCTGGCAATCATCCAGCCAGTGAGCTTAGGGTTGCTGGGTTCAATCTGGATCAAATACTCGCTCGTTGGTTTTGAGCGAATATTGCTTTTATCATCTTCGTTAAAATCTTCGATAATGGCAACCGAAGAGCCACGAAACTGTGAAGTTTGCATTGTAATTAGAGAGGTGGCAGAAGTATTCAAGATTGGCGTTGTTTGGCTGGCAAGGGGAGGATTATCGAGTGAATCTTCGTTGAGACTGGTGCTTGAGCCAGGAGTAGGTTGGTGGTCAGTAGTATTAGATGAGGAGGAGTCAGTGGGTAAATGTGTATATACGGCAGAATTCCCGCTGGTCTCCTCAGAGTCTGCTGCTCTAGGTATTTCTTTTGGCATTGCTACTGCGCTGATGTCCTCATGCTGTGCAAAATCGGCATCAAAAGGCTGCCTCATAGGTTGCACTTGTTCGGCCAGCTTTTGGTCCCCAAGATTAGTAACAATATTGGAGACCTTCCCTTCCAGTACGTTGGACGTTGGGGTACCGGTACTGGTCGGGTTTTTCTGCTTGACATTGTCCGCTTGTTCAAGCCCTGCGTCAATAGCGTTCAAAAGCTGCGGTTCCCCTTCCTCGAGTAGATACACAATCCACGTATTGATATACTCTGCATCAGAGCACATGTCTATTGTGGGCTGTAGTATCAACCGAGACAGGACTTCACGCAGAAAAATGCGAAGAGGACCACAGTTATAAACTGATGGTTCAAGGAACGTTTTAAGTATATCTGTTCCAACGAGACCAAGCTTTTTCTCTTGTTGGGTGGACGACAACACATTGGCTAGACTACTTTCTGGGTTTCTGTCCAGGTATTCGTCTATAGAGTCGGCAACGGGCCTAGAGCCCGTTGTGGCTGTACCGACAGCAGCAGATAGTTCACTGAAAAATACAATCATGAAGGATGTTGAATTGGTTGCAAACTGCAGAAACATGTCGGCAGGCCGTTTGCGAGAAATACGAGATGATACAGCCAGGATCATGCTCACGAGCGTATTGCGGCATGCTTCAGGGAACTCATCTTCAGAAGGTAAAATGGGCTTATACCACCAGCTAACAACATGATTAGCCTCATGTTTACCATTAGAGAGCCCCAGGGGTATAGTCAAGCTCACCTTACATAGTCTGCAATTACCGAATCGGTTAAAGCAGTCAATGCGGCTTCTGTTGCTGGTCCCATCCTTGAGTAATCCAGGGACGACTCCCCTGATCTATTAAGAGTGTCTTCATCATCATCCTGCTTTGAGCCATTGTCAGCGTACAGCGCCGTCAATCTGTTGGCTACCTCCAAGCTAAGTTCATGTCGTTTGCGCTTTGCCGCCCCTTCGTTATCTCCGTTTGTCCCATTGTCCTGTCCTTCCCACCATATGTGCAGGATGACCCCTCCAATAGCACCAACAAGAAGAAGGGCAAGTCTGCCGAACAGCACATAAGACACGGCAACAACTCCGGCTGAGATTGAAATCAAGGTTGTCCTATCTGCATGTGCAACGAAGAGGCTGACTTGGTCGACGAGTGATTGGGAATTAGGGCTCGGCGGTACTGTCGCGGACTTGAGTTGGGCAAGGGGTTCGTTAGACGCAGTGATGGCGGTATCACCTCCTTTCGTAGCCATGACTTGGTTTTTTTTGTCTATGTCAATTATGCGCTCCAGCAAGCACTATATCCGCTGAGGTGCATTCTATTCCTGGGGGCCAGCGTTGGCAGCAGCCCTGGTAACGTGTCAAAGGTAGAAATCAACTTTCTCAAGACACAATGCGCATGCTTCGAAAGGATAGGCGAGATCAAGGCTAGGAGGAGCTTTGAAACGGCCTTACTTCCATCTCAAACAGTGGCCACTCACCGCAGCATTAGTGTTGGTAGCTGCTGGAGCTCCATGCCTTGTCCATCTGTTTGATAGATCTGGCGATAAGGAGGCGAGGCGTCAGTCACGTGGACACATCTCCATCTATGGGTCCAACGACCGCTGGAGCCACCGCTCTCGCAACGACTGGTCCGCCAGCCCTTTATTCAGGTGTCCAAGACTCTGCTAGACAGGTCATTAGAGACATATGATGCAAGCATTCAATCAACTCTCACAACGACATCAACTTATCAAAAAGCCGAAGAGGAAAAAGGAATACAAAAGTGGCACGTGATGCTCATGTGCCTTGGCGGGTCAAACCGGCACGGGCGGGCTTGGCATTGATGAGTCAGCGGAGGTTCCTCTCTTTTTTTCCCTAACAAATTTTTTTTTCTGCTTTGAAATTCGACCGGAGCAAGAGCGTCATCGAGAGTTGCATCTTTCATCTTTCCTATCGACAGTCAACATAGAGAACAGTCGAGTTCATCGGCACCCTGTCAATCTTCAATAATAGGCTAATATATAATACTATCTTATTCTGTTTGGCTTCACTCAGGGCTAGGGTTAATCCCTTGGGTCGTGTTAGCGAAAGGACGTCGATTCGGCTACTCCTCTTCTCCGTGTCAGAACGACGATGAAGGTCTTCGAGTCCACATGCACCTTTGACTACTCCTGGGACGAGGTTTCCACGGCCAACTGGCGTAAATATTGTCCCTGGAACGAGAAGTCCACCCATGTCGTCGCGGTGGACGTGCTCTCCCACGATATCAACCCAGAGTCAGGCATAGTGAGTCCCTCCGGCGCACATCGTTAATGACTACGCTGGGCAAACTGGCTAACCATATGGCTTCTCTTGTCATAGCTACGAACTGAGCGTCTGATAACATGCAACCAATCAGCCCCTCAATGGATTCTTAAACTGTTTGGAGGCAGCTCGACATCCCATGTCTACGAGGTATCCTACGTTGATCCACGGTCGAAGAAAGTCACCATGTGCTCTACGAATCTATCATGGGCCAACGTCCTTAAGGTACGAGAGGTTGTTACCTATCAACCATCAAGCTCGATGCCCGGCAGCAAAACGGACTTTAGGCAGGAGGCCCAAATTACTGCCATGTGCAGCGGCTGGCAGAAGATCAAGAACAAAATCGAGGACGTGAGCGTGGAGACTTTCAGCCAGAACGCGAAGAAGGGCCGCGAAGGCTTCGAGTCTGTCCTTGAAATGAGCCGGCGAGTTTTCTTGGAACACAAGAAAGAAATGGAGGCCCAGCGCGCACACCAATAGCCCACGATGCTACGGCTAATACTATCAACAACCGTTCAATCTCCCAACAATCGGTCAAGCCTATTACTTGACCAACAGCTACCGACTACGCTTGCCACGCAATCGTTGACATCGATCTTGAGAACCCAGAGTATCTCCACTCTACATCCTTATACCAGCGGAGTTACGGTTTTGACTTTGTTTCCTGTGAGCGATTTGCGTTCCAATTACTTTAAATCACGACCCCATCAAAAAGAAAGACCGTGCTTTTATTTGACATTTGGCGTTGGATACCATTTCCTTTTGTTCATCTGGGTGGTTAAATAAAAATGGGAACGGCGCAACTCGGCTTAGATGAGCGTTCCCTTCTATTATTTTTTGTTTTCCTTTTATTCCCTTTTTTTTTTTTTTTTTTCCATCTTTTTCCTTCTCCACCTCGTTTATACCTCTTTATGTGCAAGATATCGATGTCCGATTGTACACTATATACATTATACAAGAGTGGAGGCAACTTTAGAGGCTAGTAGTATAGCACGCAAATACACGGATGATGACCTTCAAGGGTTATTATTTTCAGTATCTGTTAAGCAGCAGGTTGATATTAATAATAAACTGGGAAATGGTAAAACGGGCGCGCTGGGTATATGTTCATTAGATCGTCATAATGTGTTGTCCACTCTTATCACCGTTAGACATTAACTAATTACAAAAACTTGACCCGAACTATATATCGCTTAACCCAGGAGTCCACCTAAAACCATACGTCCAACTCCAGCGACCTCGCTCTTCGCGCTGGCCCGGCTGGCGTCTTCAAACTCTCTGACAATACCACTTACGATCACTTTCCGTAGCTTTGCGTCAGCCTTGGTAAAGAGTTCGCCCATAGCAGCATTGCAAAGGCTAGGGTGAGAAACAAGAGAGACCAGCCTCGAATAGCAGTCGATAAGCACGTCGCATAGAGTGGCGAATATCTCAAAGTAGTCCGGGTCAAACGGTAACGAAGGCGTAAGGAGGAATGTGTATTCTTCACCAGGGAGTAGATCCTGTGACTCAGAGTTAGACGGGAACGTGGAGACTGCAGAGGTGCCGCCTGCGGAGGCCATGTTGCCCATGGGCTTAAGTTCAGAGTGGTGATCTACTCCTCCAGATTGCATGGGCAGACCAATCTCGGTAGCTGAGCTTGTCCGTCTCACCTTGGTGGACTGGCCTGACCGCTTGAACATGTGCGGCAGCCTTGCACGGGCCAGAGTTGCAGCAGGTCCCCCATCCACGGAATGGATCTGTTGGAAGGATTCGAACTCGAGTAGGAGAGCGTTGAGGGATTTGAGGTATTCGGACAGTCCCGAGCTGACATCCAGTATCGGCGGGAGGGAGAAGCCCAGGAAAAGGAAGTTTATGGCGCGGCGTGTGAGCTTTCGTTTTTCAAAGTAGGGCATGCGGGCGAGATCTGCTTTGGAGAAGTGTGTGGTATTGAACCAGTATACTCTGCCATTGTGACTGTCATCCAGTTTGATAGCATGTCAGCACTACGCTCCACCACCTAGAAGGGACGACGGCCGGAAAAGGGAAGGAGCCAGGCATCTCACGCGCTACGCAGGTAATCGAGGGTCTGTATCCGTTTTGATGCGGTTTCGTGTATGTGCGAGTATATATTCGTAGCACTCTGGGGTCCAAGGTTGTTGCTCCCTGTTATGGGGGTAGATATAGTGGAGGAAGAATTGAATCCCTAGACATGTTTAGATGCCAGAAAAAGAGGCACAGCAGGTAAGCATTGGAATAATATAGTAAGATTTACCTCTCTGGCTCTAGTGTCCGGGGGAGGAGCAAGGAAGTCTCCCCCGGACATGATAGCCTTGACATGGAGCGCAGCCGAGTACTCCAGCTTTGCGGCTTTGGGAAGTATACGAAGGTATAAAAAGGTAAAAAAAAAAAAAAGAAGAAGGAGGAGGAGGAGGAGGAGGAGGAAAGGGAGGGAGAGGGAGAGAGACAGAGAAGCAAAGATAGGAGAGCAAAAGGGAGGTCAACGTACGGTGTTGTGAGCCGACGCCTTCTCGGTCTCGAGCTTGGGCATCTTTATAGCGGACTGCATCTTTCGACTGTCAAGGGTGTGGGACCCCCCTCCTCTCACGCGGGAACCGATGGTACATGCTAAGTCCTCGATGGACCAAGAGACGGGTACGCTACAGCGCCTCTCGAAGGGCTGGTGGGAGCGCGGTGGTCGACTTGTTGGAGATGAACGCTAATGCGAGCCTTCGATGTTGGAAGAACCAGGGCCGCAGCAGCGCAGGATGACGGAAGACGAGCAGGCGGCGCCGTCGGAAAATACGGTACGTGACAAGACCGGCGGCGGGTCAGGGGCAAAGTTACCGAGGTTGCGTGTAACGATGACGTATCGCCGGGCAAGGGGAGATGCTTAGTCATCCAGGCCCCCCCCCCCCAAGAAGGGTGGGCTCCCCTGTTTGGTGACTTTTGCGTCGAAACGAACGAGCGAAACCGACGAGCGCAGGACCGGACAGACTGGAACAGAATAATACGATGGCGAGCGCCACCTGGAGGATCGACTGAGCTGGGACACGGAGTCGTCGACGGCTGGATCACACGCGATCACTTGCTCTTTTCCGCTGCGAGACGTGTGCTCGCTCGACCGACCACTTGTGCTGGGTAGACGTCTGTTCTGTTGACGTTCAGATGGCGGCGTTTGAGCGCGGGGCACTCCCACGGCCGGGACAATGGCCAGCAGACCCCCAGGAGGATGTCGAGATATCCAAGGACAGGATCTGGGTAGACGGCTGCTTTGACTTCAGCCACCACGGTTCGTTCGCCAATCGATTTGATGTACTGCTTACAGCTTCGTCGTCGTCTTCTGTGGGCGGTTGTTCTAATCAGCTGGGTTAGGCCATGCGGGGGCCATGCTACAGGCTCGTAGACTGGGAAAGGAGCTGCTCGTTGGTGTGCATTCAGACGAGGAGATATCGGACAATAAGGGGCCTACCGTCATGACCCTTGCTGAACGGTTGGTCAATCAGTACTCCTACGGCTTTCAAGCAGGACTCCCTTTGTTTTCTTTTTCGCTCTCTTGCTGCTCTAGTTATTCTTCTTCTCTGCTTGAAGTTGCTGATTAGGCCTGAAGGATTGCTGCTGTGGATGCTTGTCGATGGTCAACAAAGTCCATCCCGTACGCTCCATATGTTACTTCTCTAGACTGGATATCTCATTATGGATGCCAGTATGTTGTTCATGGAGACGACATCACCTCAGACAGTGATGGCAACGACTGCTATCGGTTTGTCAAGGAGGCAGGCCGCTTTCTAGTGGTGAAGCGTACCCCTGGCATCTCGACCACTGACCTGGTTGGCCGCATGCTTCTTTGCACGAAGACTCACTTTATCAAGTCTCTTCTAGCTTATATCACAGGAAAGGAGGGCTCCGGAACTCCTGAGGAGATGGAGGAGGCTGGCAAGAGTCATTTCCAGCGTATCAGAGACTATGCCACAGACGAGACAGGGCTACGCCCTGGGCCTGAGGTCTGGCATTGGAATGGCCCATCAACTTTAAGCAGCACACCTGCAACTGGCGGAGCACATGAGCAGCTGCAGCAGTTGGTTGAAGGTGTAAAGCCGAAACCAGGACAGAAGATTGTCTATGTTGACGGTGGCTTCGACTTGTTTTCGTCTGGTCATATCGAGTTTCTCCGCTGCGTGCACTCTGCAGAAGAAAAGGAGGGAGATGCTCGTGGGTGGTTCCACCCAGACCAAGTGGCACAGAGAGTAAAGGAACACGGTGAGGATTACGGACCCGCGTATATTGTGGCCGGCGTGCATGACGACGAGGTAATCAATCGCTGGAAAGGCCTGAATTATCCAATCATGAACATTTTCGAACGAGGTCTCTGCGTCCTCCAGTGTCGTGTAAGCATGGCCCGTCTCTTCATAAGTTCGTACAAGGCTAATATTTCCTGAAGTATATAAATGCCGTCGTGTTTGCTGCCCCTTTTACTCCAACTGAAGCATACCTAAGTGCCCTGCCCTTTGGAATGGCTGATGTGGTGTACCATGGCCCTACCACTTTCATCCCTCTAACCTTTGACCCGTATGAAGAACCCAGGAAATTAGGGATATTCAAAGAAATCGGCAATCATCAATTCCAAAACGTCAATGCTGGAGAAATAGTACAGCGAATCATGACAGCGAGAGCAGCCTTCGAGGAACGACAGAGGATCAAAATGCTCAAGAGTATCAACGAGGCAGAGGTTAAGAAGCAGGAGGAAGCAGCTAAGTTGTCTGGAAAAGGTAATTAGAGGTATGGGAAAGTCTATGCTAATAACGTCTTCTTGCATAAGATTTATGATATATAGATACAGCTATAAAACGTATATGATATACATGACTTTTCACAGAGAGCTTCGTGCATGACAGGAAATTATATAGTACTAAATATAACATATAACATAGACCGACCGTATAGTTAAGGCAGTTAAACTTGTGCTAGCATCCTCTTTGCAAGTTGGCAGACTTCCTCGCGCTGCCTCTTTCTCTGGTCCATAGATTTCTATATATAGCGGGTTATAGTTGTTAGTGACACCAGCGGCCCAGGAAAACAGAAGGTAAAGATATACCATACCTTTTGACAGGCTTTCAATTGTTTTACTGAATTTTCTGCCAACAACGTAATGGCTTGATGCTGTTTTTGCAGTTCACCCCGCATAGCCCCCTGCTCAGACTGCTGCTTGTCGAATAAAGCAGCAGCGCGGTTCAATCTCTTCTTCATCACCTTCTTCCTCGGGTCTTTGGTGATACCGGCCCTTTTCACACCAAGAACCTCAACAGCAAGACAGATTATTTTCTGCTGTACTTTCTCCCATTCGCCCCACAATCGCTCCAGAGAACGGGTTTCGGCTTCTATCTTGCTCGAGAATGCGGTTCGATCAAAGCCGAACACCTCTACTGAACCTAACTCTGCAGCTTGACCCCCAGCAGTACCCTCACCTAGCACTGGCGCCCCGATACGGCTTAACACCTTCGTGTAGTTAGCCTGGAATTCGTCTACCCTTTTAGCGTATGCTGTAGCCATCTCATCGAGGCGAGATTTTATGGAGTCCTCAGTGTTTGAGATTGCTGCAGAAAGCTCTTCTGCCATATCCTCTCGGGCGGACTCCAGTAGATCTGTTGCCAGCAGTCAGAGGAATTCTTGTGCTGCATTAACTACGCCGTTTTCCATACTAACCAATGAACGAGTCCAGAACCTTTTGTCCATCGTTTAGCTCCTCGGCAGGTGGGTATGGCCTGGCTGTATCTGTTTTCGAGTCCGGGATATCTGAGGGCTCCATATCGATACTAGATCTGAGTCTCCTCATACTTGCATTGGCTTTACTATATGGAGTTTGACCGGGCGAACGCTGCGGTGCCGAGTTCCGGGTGGTTCGGCCCTTGTATATAGAGCGGTAGCAGTGTGACTCTGCCATTAAACCGATGTGTATGGGGCTTTGGGAGAGTGATGGCAAATATGGTATTTTGTGAAAAAATAGAAACCTGGAAGACAAAAAGTTGTGGTTGAAGGTATGTAGTGAAGATTTCCTATTTGGGTCTTCATACGGGTAGGGCCAATGCGCACAGTCTGAAATAACCACCACTGCATCTTATGATTTGGCCGGGTATCAGAAACATAGCTGAGAAAAGCAAACTAGCAGTCCAGGGTATAAATAGGAGTGCATATGTATGTATTACATCCTTCAGTCCATGCTTACCCCAAAGGGCATACATGTATAGTCAAATTTACAGCCTATTAGTGGAAATAGAGAGACACATAAATCCAGAAGTTGACCCTCTCAGTAACGCCGACTATTGTAACATATCCTGACATATCTCTCTGATTGCGCATAGATTCGATCATTGCTCTGCCTGCACAACCAGGCCCTTCTCTTCGAGAAGCTTAGACAACTCTCCATTCTGATGCATAGTCATCAAGATATCACAACCACCAATGAACTCCTTCTCGACGTATAGTTGGGGAATGGTTGGCCAGTCAGAATATTCCTTAATCCCTAATATGAAACGAAAACCAACGAGTTAGTCATATAATTCAATTACCACTACCATATTGCAATTGTGCAATTGTGCCTACCTTGTCTTAGCTCGGGGTCCTCGAGCACATTGAATGCTGTGAACTTCTTTGGGTCTAGCCCCTGTAGACCCAGAACCTGAATGCTAGCCCTTGAAAACCCGCACTGCGGTGTCTCTGGGGTGCCTTTCATAAACAGGACAACAGGCGCCGAGGCTACAGCTTTATCAATGGCGGATCGGGTTTCATCGGAGAGTAGGCGTATTTGCAAAGGAGTGAGTCCGAACCTCTTCGTCGCTGGGGTTGGTAGGCGGGTGAATCGAAGAAGCTGTCGAGAGGGTGAGTGAGTGCTAATGTAGGGTAACATAACTGTGGTGTAATCCTTACCGACGAAACTGATAGTCTAGAAGCCATGTTGCTTTCTGCCACTTAGATTAAGGGTCTCGTTAAAAAACAAAAAAGAAGGAAAATAGACTTGGAATAGCCAGACAATAGCTAACAATAAATGCAACGAAGTCGTCGGATGTTCTTGGGGAACTTTTTTGCATCTCCAAAGCTTGGCCATATAAAACCGCGGATATTATTAATTAGATTGGCCAATCAAGGGGCAAGAACTTTGCCTGGATAACTAACTAAATGCATCTCTGTTAGAGGAACCAAAACGAAACCTGAGTTACAGTCGAGAGACTTTTATATTATTAGGGCAAGAGAGTTATCTCGTTGCTAGCCAGAATGAAACCATGGGAGATCCAAAGCAACACGAGCCGTGAAACCCCCCCCACCCGGGGTCGATATCCGTTCACCCAACAACAACAAATGGCTAATGAGGAGTGGCCTCATCCCACCCGTTCAACAGTATATCAACAGTATATCAATGACTGTACCCCCAAGGATTCTCATTATTTATATGCTTCAAGAATGCAGTGATGGACTCATTATTACCGAAGTACGAGAGTTGATGCTGGAGAACAATTACTTGGACATCCACCCTTGGAAGAGCCGTTGGATCTACAGCAAGAATGATGTTTTACCACGCATATGCACTAATAAGTCTCTATTAGGCCGGTTACTACCAGTAAGTAACAGGTTCTGTACAAATGTACTCAACAATCCCAAAAGAGAACACGTCCGACGGTGTATTAGCACGGGCTTCTGCATGAGCTTCTGGGCTTCTCCACCTCTGCTTTCCTACAGCCTTTCCGAGAATATTACAATTAGGAGGTACCATTACACTGTCCTCGAGATAGGCTAGTTCAGTTCTTTTAGCCTCTCCCCAGTCAATCATGATGTTGTTTGGCTTGATATTTGTATGGTTATGTCTGCGTTAAAAAAAAAAAAAAAAAAAAAACTCAATAGTACGAATGCAGCATAGAGCGTGTGGAAATTTGGTGTTGGATTGAAGTACTGAAATGTCCCAGAGTCTGTTTGTACGAGGGAGGTAGACTGGACATGAGGGTGGGGAATGGGATTAGACATTGTAGCCACCCTAAGCATGAATGAGAAGGTCTATGTATATCCTAAGCCACACCTCTCATTTAGTTACCTCTTACACCTTTCCCTTTTGTCTTTACCCTCATATTCTCCTATAGAGGACACTTAACATTTCTAACCCCCTTAAACTCCCTAAGGCCGAACTTTTCAAGATGGAAGGTTTCAAGACGTCGGAAACGGCGTCTATGTTAACTAGTTAAGTTCCACAGCCGACGAGCCGCACCCACGCGGTCTTGGCCCCACTCGCTCTGAAGGCTAGAAAACTGTCTCTTCAATTCCCTCGACATGGTATTCTTGCCTTGGGTTTAACTATCAATTTACGATTCCGAGGAATGCTACAACGTATTCACACAATGGAGGAAGATCTGGCTCCACCATTCTCTGCTGCAAACTATACCAATGATGGAAGGACTCATATCCTACTCGCAGCCACTGGCTCAGTAGCCACGATAAAACTACCAAATATAGTCGCATCTTTGGGATCCCAAAACAGGTTTTCCATTCGTATCATCGTCACTAAATCTTCAGCCAATTTTCTTAATGGGCAAAGTGATGAGCAGCCGAGTTTGCAGCAAATTCGGCGGATGAAAGGTGTCGAAGGCATATACCATGATGAAGATGAATGGAAGGAACCCTGGGTGCGGGGGAAAGACATCTTGCACATTGAGCTACGGAGATGGGCTCACGTCCTACTTATAGCACCACTGTCCGCAAATACTCTGGCAAAAATGACAATCGGGATGGCAGATAACTTACTACTCTCCGTTGTACGGGCGTGGGACACATCCGGCACGATCGATCTCGGAAAGAAGCCCAAACCACATATTTTTGTGGCACCTGCTATGAACACCGCAATGTGGAGAAACCCGCTGACGCGCAGGCAAGTCGAAACTCTTGAAACGAGCTGGGGCTTCCAGTCTGAAACTGAAGGCGGTTGGGTGACAGTTATCAAGCCAATGGAGAAAACCCTTGCTTGCGGTGATGTAGGGGATGGTGCTATGGAAGACTGGAGAAGGATAGTAAGAATTATTGAAGAGTATTGTGACGCCTAGCGCTCTATATTGGCACAAGTATCTCGTATTATACAATCTATTAATACACACTCCACTACACACCATTATAGTCTCACATCGTCTTGCCTAAGGTCTTCACTCTGATCATTAGATCTTCTTATGGCATAATCCCCAAGAAGACCAAGGGATATAGTGCTTCCCGTAAACCAGCAGCCGTACTTAAACCACCACCAACAGTCCTTTGGATCAGTGAGCTTCACTCGCCAGATCATAGTTCCCAATGATAACATGGCACCACCACAGCTGCCTACAAAGAAGACAGGTCCAGCTCCGGCCGCCACACCAGCTGCAGCAAGCAGGCTGACCTGAACTGCTGCGAGCCCCGACATCACATATTTGCTGTTATCAATATGAGCCAAAGCAATTGATTTTATCCCTGCCTTAGCATCGTCCTTGACATCCATATGAGCATATATAGTATCATAAAGTATAGTCCAGGCCACATTGCTCGCATATAGAGAGGCGCATGCGGCTAGGATGCTAGGATCGCTCAAAACTTCAACCCCCAGCGCTGGGAATCCCATCACCGCGCCCCAAGAAAAGGTTAACCCTAACATTGCTTGAGGGTAATTTGTCACCCGCTTTGCAAGTGGATATGCTGCAACGAACAGAAGGCTTGGAGTTGCATACCAGAAGCATTCAAAAGGGAATTGAAGGAGAATCGCAAGCCCGGAAA